GCTCTGGAGGCTTGTGATTCTGTGCGGGTTTTAGCATGCTAGTTGAAAACAATATTCTGTCTAGAGATAACAAGGCCACCACAGGGCATCTGGTGCGTTGTTTGCTAGTTGCTGAGTTTGCAGCAGATGTATGGCTGTTTGGTACCACTGCCGTATGCTGCCGTTTTGCAGACGCTGCACAGCTGCTGCTTGCTGCGGTGCTCGCAATCCCAACCAGGGTGCGCGTGTCTCTTTCAGTAGGAACACCGTCTGTGCATTTAGAGTACTGATGTGTGAGTTTCCGAAAATAAGGGACCCTAATATACCACCCCAAATAGTAGGATCTTTATTATAAGGACTCCAAAATACGGTACCCCTAATTTTCGGAAACTCCCATGTGGCAAGATGTGCCGAGGCTGGGCTGGGTAAAATGGCATGAGTTGTGCGAGTTGGGGTTTAGGGCCCAGCAGGGGTCACAGGGATGAGATTTACAGTTTGGTGTTTGAGCACGTCGCATGCTATCGTAGCTACAAAGTAGCATCGGCGCAAACCCTAAAACCGCAACCTGTGCACCTAATATATACTCTAAACCCCAAACCGGGGCAAAGTTTGGGCTTGCCACTCTTCCGAAGGTTCAAGACCCAAAACCCTGAGCCCCAAAACCCCACACCCCAAACCCCCAAAATCCGAAATCCCGGCACGAAAAACCAAATTTAGGGACCTCCACGCCTCTCCGAAGTCTGCTCTCCGAGTGGCTTCCGATCTGCCTGTGGAGGATCATGTCCTCGTCTAAACCTTGGCTTTCTGTTCGGTTTAAGTAGACACCAGGAAGTAGGAAACCGGATTAGGGACGATTCGTGCTGGGATTCCCTATACATGACTCTAAAAGATTGGGGCTATTGGGTTTCCAACTTTTTGGCTTGTACTGTAGAGTTTAGGGTTCCAATCGGCTTCATCGGGTTTGTTAAGGAGTTTCATACATAAATCGCGGGCGTGCACGCGCGATATAGTCTGTGCCTTGGCTTTGGGTTTAGCGTCCAATGTCACAAAGGTTTCAGGGGGTCAAGGTGCAAGGCGTGAGGTTTGCCTGAGGGCCTCTGAAGACTGTTGCCAAGTTCACTCCGAAGTGGCCCAAAGAGCAAAGAGGTTTACAGCAAACCCCAGAAAGTTGGAAACCGGATTAAGGCCAAACAGTGCTGGGATTGATTCCCTATACATTACTCTTAAGGATTGAGGCTATGGGGTGTCCAACTTTTGGGCTTCTACTGTAAGTTTAGGGTAAAAGATTTGCTAGGCTGACCTCTGGACCTGTGGAACGTCATCATCTGAGCATCACGATTCATGCAGTGCAAAGAAAAAAGTCCCAAACGGTAGATTCAGAACCTATCAGCCCAAGAGGGCCCAGTGTCCTTAACATCATCCTACAATTCAAGATAGGGGCCACAGTACTTAGAATTAGGCTACGAGTCTTCGAAACGTATTTTTCTGTTTTTATCGTAGGGACTCTAATGCTAGACCGAAGAGTAACCTAGGAATAAAAAAGTGCCCTTTTGGTTTGACGGGGTTCCAAGAGAACCTCAACCCCAAAAAAGGGATGGAGGTCCTAGACTAGGATGCTTGCTATAAGTATTTATTGCGACACTTTCTGTTAGGCAATACTCCTTGATAAAGGGGTGAAGGGACCCTGTGAGCCTTGCAGCCTGAAGTCCTGAACCCCAGCCTGCGTGGTAGGGTTTTGGGCTGGGTTGAGGGTTTTTTGTGTCCCGGATCAGATGGGGCCTGGCTCCAAGGAACCGAACTGCTCCAGATGCTTGACAATCTCCTTCAGAGGCTCAGGGCTTAGAGGGTTTAGGAATTACGAGCTTAGCTTCCGGAGTCTGAGGTTTAGGTCAGCAGTTTGCGGCTTTGGCGGTTCCCGGGTCTAGGCTTACGACTTTGGGACAGAGCAGGGTTCAAGTTGTCGGGTTGGATTCGTAGGGTCTTGGGATTTCAGCACGTCACGATCTACTCGATGCTCAGTCACTACCATTCTGAAAAAGCGCTGATAGTCGCATGGCAACCCAAGTAAACCCTGACCCTGAATCCCACGCACGCGCATACATGCGAGCTGTAGAATATCAGCGAGCGTTCGTGAGATCCCAAAAAGTAGGATCCCGAATACGTGGGCCCCAAACAAGGCACCCCAAGGTTGAGAAAATTATGCCCCTTCAGAAACCAGGCAAACGAGACGCAAACCCAACCAAGATTTGTCCACTCGCACCCAACTTCAACCCCCAGAACCTCCCTGACACCTAAACCCTAAACTCCCGATCAAGACTTTTATAAACACTTTACAAAAATCGTTTGACAAACCACGAAATGCCTTTATATTATAGAAGCCTAATGCGCCAAAGAACCCGATAGAGCCTGTCTGGTGACCTAAAGCCCGCCTTCTGCGTCAGCGGCCGCTGGTCAATTCCCGCAGTCTGTGCCGCCAGGCGCTCGTCGTATGCCTGGAGGGCTCACTGCCGTTCAATTTGATACGGTGGATGATATAAATCCTGCATTACCTTAGGGGACCCTAACCCAAGGGAATTATGGTATGTTCCTTATTGTGGGTAATGCAGGATTTATATCATCAACAGTAGGGTTCAGGGTTTGGGCTGCAGGATTTTGGGGTTTTACTGTTTCGGCTTTCGGGTTTGCAGAGTATAAGATTTGTAGATTTTGGATTGCAGGGCTCGGGCCACCTTACCTTGCAATCGTCCTGCTGATTATTGAGGTCACCTAAGTCCCTACCCTACAATTTGACAATCATACTACACCATGATTAAGGACCCACTGCATATTAAGCAGGCCATCCCCGTGAAGCTTTCATGTCATGTTAAAAGCTCCTAGGCCCCACCACCCTCGCCCCTAAACTAGCTTCCGCCCTCAGAACCCTCATAGAACCCTTCTGGAACCCTTAACCCTGACACAAAAAAAACTGATCCCCAAATCCCCAAAGAACCCTGAACCATTGCATTATGAAGCTCTCAACCCTCCTGGAACCTAAAACTCTAAACCCACAAAATGTAACAAACATGACAAACACACCCTAAACCCTGGAACCCAAAATGTAACAAACATGACAAACACACCCTAAACTTCCAACCCTAGAACCCCCAAAATGTAACAAACATGACAAAGACAACAAGGCAGTCGGCCTTCGCCAGGCCAACGACGCCGAGCTTCTTCCTGGGCCGAGGTTGAAAGGGGTTTGGGGCCTAGGGGTTATTATAGGATCCTTAAGGGAGGGGGGTTCAAGGGGGGAGGGTATAAGGAATCCTTAGGGGACTGTAAGGGAACTTTCGGGAGTACTAGGGAGAATTAGGGATCACTAGGCTATCTACCCCCCTTGGACCCCCCTCCCTTAAGGATACTACAAGGTTAGGGCCTCTAGGGTTCAGGATTTCTGGTTCATAGGGCTACGGTTTAGGGTTTAGGGTTTAGGGTTCAGGATTTACGGCTTATAGGGCTATGGTTTGGGGTTTAGGTTCAGGATTTATGGTTTATAGGGCTACGGTTTAGGGTTTAGGGTTCAGGATTTTATGGTTTATGGGTTACGGGGTTTGGGGAGGGCTTGAAGAGAGGGTCTGGTGTTAGGGATTCCTCCTTGTCGGGTTTGATGAAGTGGTTCACGGTGGGCCTGTGGGGTTTTACAAGGGCTTTTGTTGAGGCTTAGGTTGCGGTTTGGTGGCTTTGGGGCTGGGGGGTTAAAAACCTCAGGCTGTCGTTGGGACTTATATAGGGCCTAGGTCTGCAGGTTTAGGATCGTGGTCTGAGGTTTCAAAATCTTGGTCTGCGGATTTAAATAAGGTCGACCCTGAGTCGCAACATAAACCCCATCAACGCGGAAGTTGCCGCACCCCTACCAGAAGAGTGGGCCTTAGCGTAGAGAGTGCACGCGCCATGTAACATAGGAACCCTCATACTAATACGTGTCACACCAAACTCCTTTATTCTTAACCTAAATGCAGCACCCAAAGCCCTGAAATCATTAGACCCGAAACCCCAGAAGTCACTTTAAGACCCGAAAACTCTGAACCCCAACACCTGTCAACACGAAATTCGACACCCTAAAGCCCATAAACCCAAAAACAGTTCCATAGAACCTAAATCCGCAGCCCTAAAAAATACACTAGAACTCAACTACCACAAACCTTAAACCAAGTCGAGAGTCAGCTTAGAAAGATTCTCGAAGGTGTTTTGCTTCGGGTCGTCACAGCCTTAACAGGCTGGTGAGTCGAGTTTCGAGGCGACAGTGACGACGAGGACGACCATGACTAGTTCACGGTTGGGATAGGATTAAAAATGTACATTTTTGTTCCTTATTGGGTTTAAGTTTAAGTATCCATAAAAATGTAAAATGTTACCCAACTATGACAAAGATGATGACAAGGACGACCATCACGACTCCGACTACTCACTACAGCTACTGCTCCCGTGACTGTTGCTGTTGTTATGGCCATGACGGCTACCAGAAGTAGGGTCGCCGGGTTTGGCGATGGATATCCGGAGATACGTTGGTCTTTGTGAGGGGGGCGATGGATCACCAACGGATGCGAGGGTTTAGGGTTTAGGGTTTAGGGTTTACCCTAAACCCTAAACCCTAAACCCTGTTTAAAGTTCAAGTGCGGCTTCAGGGCTTAGGATGGAGGGCTAGGTAGGCACTCAGGTGAGGTCTTGGGCTTGAACGTCATCACTTGGAGGTTCATGGGTAGATAGAACTGGGGATATAAGTCCGTCCATTTGGATTCTAAGTATAGTTACCCTACTTATTACCCTATTCATAACTACCCTAAACCCCAATCCCTAAACCCTAAACCCTATATAGACCCCTACTCATAATTATTGACACTTACAACAACCCATGGCCCGGGCTGACAAAAACCCTAAACCCGAACTAAACCCTAAACCAAAATCGGCGAACCCTAAACCCTGAACCCCTAAACCCCTAAACCCTAAACCCTAATCCCTAAACCCGAATTAAACCCTAAACCCTACACCAAAATCGGCGAAAGCTTTGCTGAAACTGTGCCAGGTCCGCCCTTCCACTGAACCTCGTAGAGCACCTCGTTCCCGCGCACGACGCGGCTCTGAATGCTACCCACCTCGTTGGGATTGATGTCGATTTAGGGTTTAGGGTTTAGGGGTTTAGGGTTTAGGGGTTTAGGGTTTAGGGGTAAAGGCCATGTAGGGGCCGTAGTAAGGAGAATAAGGTTCTTTAAAGGGTTCTCTTAAGGATTCTACTCTAAATTAGGGTTCCTTCTCGGGACCCGTTCATAAAGGGGCCGTAGTAGTTTGGGACCCTGATTTAGAGAACTACCCAAAAAGTGGCCTTAGTAATTGGAATGGGTTTTGGGGGTATACTCGAGTATAGTTGTATCAACGTGCCCTAAGCAATAATACTGAATTGTTTACGAGAGTGGGGTTTCGTGGACAGAGAGGAGTGTAAGGCGGATGAGAAGGATATTGAAATATTAGGGTTTAAGGGGTTCGGGGTGGGTTTTCAGGCTTGAGTGGAAGGAGTCTGCACATGACTGGTTACTAGACCCACTCCCTCAGAATAAGGATCGTAACAGGTAGCGATATGGGACAACGACGAAGACGACAACGACGGCAACGGCGAGATGCGAATGGTTGCCATGAGCCTTGATTTTTCACCCCTAAACCCTAAACCCTCAACCCTAAACCCTAAACCCTAAACCCTCAACCCTAGACCCTAAACCCTAATATGTCACGTCCGGGTGAGGGCCTCGAAGCCGTACTTGCCGTACTGGCGTGCGAGGTCGTTGATGCGCTTGGCCTCCTCCTGGGGAGATGATCGGCGTATGGGCCCTTCTTGAGTTAGCAGTTAGTTCCTTTTGGGGGGTTCATATATAGTATCCTATAAGGTAATCCCAAAGAGGAACTACTTTTGGGGCCTATGGGTAATGTGAGGTACCACTGACTTTGGACGGTTTTGGGACTTTGGGACTTTGGTTTGGGTGTTTGGGGATTTGGGTTGCGCGTTTTGGTTTAAGGTTTTTTTGAGCTCAGGGGTCTGCGGGTTTATATAGGGGCTTTGGGGTTCGAGGGTTCAGGATCTGTAAGTACCCTAAACCCAAACCTGCACAACCCTTATCAACCCCGTTTAGACCCTGAATCCCCTAAACCCTAAACCCCTGAACCCCTAAACCCTATAAACCCAAAACCCCTGAACCCCTAAACCCTATAAACCCCTAAACGCCTAACCCCTAAACCCTAAAGCCCCAACCCTCAAGCAAAAGATGAATAGAGGGTGTGTGTTGAACGGTGAGGCAGGCAGAGTCATGACAATAGCATACATAGAAGCATAATCGATTTGATAAGTACATTGCAGGAAATCTCATTGACTGCCAACTTGTCGAAACAACTTGCGCAAAGGAGTGAACGCACAGGGCAAAAAGGAGGGCAGGGCAGGCAGGGAACCCGGCCCAAAGAATGCCACGACGAAATACAGGCTCAGAGTGACAAGATCCAGCCCCAAGCGCCCTGTAACGCAGAGGGTGCTCCAACGCCGCCCAGTGACAAACTCCAGCCCAAAGGGTTCAAGAAGGCGCTGCGGCGAAAACGGGAAACCCAAGATTTTTCAATGTTCAAAGCCCAAACGGCCGCACTGCAGGGCAGCGCAGGCCAGCGCAGCAGTGACAGGCAGGCAGGCCAGCCAGCAGCAGCAGGCAGGGCAGCAGGCAGAGCAAAATGACAAACCCGCCCAAAACTGCGCACCCAAACCCTACGCACCTTCTATCTATAAACCTTAAACCCTAAACCCCACGCACCTTCTATAAACCTTCAAAACCCTAAACCTCAAGGGCTTTGGGAAGGCTTCTTCTTGGGGGTTCTGGTCGGGTTTGCGGCCTCGTTCGCCGGCTCCATGAGTCGTCTCTGTAAGGCCTCCGAGATTAAAAAAAACTATACTTTTCAATCGATGATAGCAAAAAAGGGGTTTAGAGGTTTAGGGTTTAAGGGGTTATACAAGGGGTTTAGAGTCTAGGGTTTAAGGTTTAAGGTTTAGGGTTTCAGGGTTTTAGGGTTTACTGTAGGGTTTAGGGTTTAGGGGGTTTTAGGGTTTACTGTGGGGTTTAGGGTTTAGGGCTTTAGGGTCTGCTGTAGGGTTTACGGTTCAGGGCTTCCGGAACCACAAGCCTGAAGACGACGAAGGTCTAATTTCTAATAGCTGGGCCCTAATATAGAGGCCTTAGTAATTAGAGTAGGCTTTGGGGGCCCATTATACTATAGTTCTAACAAGGAACCCCTAAAAAAGTGTAGGTAACGATTAAGACCCCTATATTACACCGCCTGCACCTACACCCTGCGTCCCAAACACCAAAAAGTGGCTCAAAGCCTGGGAATCCCAGGGCTCTGGGCCTTGGGTTTGGGGCTTGGGGGCTTCGGATTTTACTCAGAGGGCTTTCGAAATTTTGGTTTTAAGGTTTAGGGTTTAAGATTTAGATTAGGGTTTAGGGTTTAGGGTTTAGGGTTTATGGTTTAGGGTTTAGATTTATGGGGTTTAGGTCCCAGGGTTCAGAGTTTAAGGTTCAGGGTTTAGGCCAGAGGGCTTTCGAGCTCAGGGCAGAGGGGCTTCGGGGTTTGAGGGCTTCGGGGATTTTCTGGGCACTGAAGTAACCAGGGAGAAAACTTTTGATATAGTTCAATTAATAACCTACAAAAGTATTCTGCTAGAACTATACTAACTATACTTTACTACACCACACTACAGCACAACAAACCCTGAAACCACGCACGAAAAGATTCGATATGCCGAGGCCAGGACTTGGCAGGAGTGAGGGGTAGGGTAAATTCAGGTTATTTGGGAGTTTCCGAAAATTAGGGGTACCCTATTTGGGGGTCCTTAAAATGAGGATCCTACTATTTAGGGTACTATATTGGGGTCCCCTATTTTCGGAAACTTCCATTTAGGTTAGGTAGATTGGGCTGGGCTAGGCGAGGCAAGACCAGGAACAGGAGGAGCAGGAAACAGGAGGAAGAGAAGGAGGAGGTTGAGGTTGCTGACGAGAACGAGCATGAGGATGAAGATGAGGATGAAGATGAGGATGAGGATGACGATGTTGATGACGATGGTGGTGGTGATGATGTGGTTGGTCACACCGCTTTTGACTGTTACTGTTGCCTGAGCTCGTAGGAACTCACGCGCAATTCATCCTTTTGACTCCTGCACATTTTTATCATCGGGCCATTGGGCTGCAGGGCATCTCCCCAGGCAAATATGTCTTGAACACTTCTGCGGTTTGGGAGGCACGGCGTCGATGGCCCAAGACACAAGGCAATGATGGTGGCAGCGGCACGGCAGGTGAAGGCGCCTCTTTTGTCGATGAATGTGTCTGGGGCTGCAGCGCTGCATGGGATTCACTTGCACCAGCGAGATCTGTGCCGAAAAAGAACGCAAACACGTTCATTGCCGAACGTTTCGCCCCGAGCATCCACAGCCTGTGCTCGACCATTGCCTTGTTTGCTTCCTCGTCTCCGCATGCGCAGCTAAAAGGCTGGCCGTTAAGATTCTCGATGCACTTCACACATAAAGCTTTGGAGCAGTTCCTTGGTCCCTGTTAGGAGGGAAAAGGAAACAGGAACCTTCTGACGGGCTCCCGTTTAAACGAACCGGAGACCCGAACAAAAAGCTAACAGCATCCCTTAGAATTATAGCAGAATATACCCCCAAACCCTATTCTAATTATTATATAAGGCCCTATATGAGCATTGACCAAGCTTCGGACAATGATGATCCAAGAACGATCCGAGTGCCTGCTGGCATCGGCTGCAAGACTCCTAGGTTCCGCAGTATTTTAGAGGCCGTAATAATTAGTGGGGATGTTCTACTATGATTATAATAAGGGCCCCCCGCCTGGGAAAATGCCCAAGATTAAGACAGGCAAAGTGGTACTACAGGAGTAGCTTCTGGCACTGAGTCGGGGCCACAGCTGCAAGCATTGAACAGTCCACACCATTGGGACGAGTATTCTTCACCGCATTTTTTGAGGGTTCCACTTCGGCCACGATCCTGGGAGAAGTGACGCCAAGTTGGATGAATCGGCATATAGCCACGACTGTCGTCAACTGCTATGCCCAAGGGGAAGTCGCAAGGCTCACGCGGCAAAACCTCAGGCGTGAGGGCGTTCAAGCTGGGAACTTCGGGCTGACAGACCCTAAGCCCTAAACCCTAACCCTAAAAACCAAAATCTTCTGCCCAGGCCTTTCCGCCGTCGTACTCGGGCAGCGGAGCCTCGAAAGCCTGGAAATTACACACAGTGGAGGCAGGGGAGCTTGGGCTTGGTGCCTCCTGGCCGCTGTTGTGCGCAGGTGGCTCTTGGCCGCAGAGATAGGTAGTTGATGCTGGCGAAACAGCTGGCGAAACAGGCGCCTGTCTACCATGGCAGTACACTGTCGATGCGGGCGAGACAGGCGCCTGTCTCGCATAGCAGACTGTGGAAGCGGGTGAAAACGGTGGCACTAGCTCGTTGTATTCGGAAATGGTAAATGATACTGGCATGCCAGGTATGGATCCATACACGCGGAGGTTTGACAAATCGTAATGAGCAGGCTCCTCAATTGGCTGTGGCTCGAACATCGCGCCGCATGCTTCCGAAGAAGCATCACCCTCCAAGGTGGCATCAGGCTTCTTGCGCCACAGGCTCGAATCTGTAGGCGTCGGGACCATGCCAGCCTTCTGCACGACATCTGCTTCCGCTGGCTTCGCGACGGGGCTGGCTGAGTTGGTCCAGTGCATAAGGGAGTTATGCTCGGCCCGCTCTTCCGGCACAGTGGCGGAAAGGTTCCAAAAGGGAGCGGAACGTGGGCGCGGAGGCGGCGGAGGCTGAGGGGGTGGTGCGTAAAAGAGGGATTCGAAAGCCGCAGAGCCAGCATCAAAGACCTCGCTGGTCTTTACGCTGAAAAGCTCGTTGATTTGAGACCAGGTTGTGTAGAACGAGGTCGCTATGTCAAGGTGTGTAGGCCCAGGGTCTCTGGCTTCCCGGTGCCCAGCGGCCGGGTCCCAAGGACCAAGCGGAGTAGGCATCTGATGAATGACAAGCAAAGAAGCGGCGTTGGGCTGCCTCTGAGCCGCAGCTTGAGCCGCAGTCAGCTTCGGTGTTGCAGCGGTACTCCAAACGAAGGTTTTCGGTGGACTAGGCCGTATGGTCTCGGGGTTGGATGTATGATATTGATGCGATGAGGACTTGAACCTTGAGGGTTTACGGCTTTCCTGGGGGGCATATAAGCCCTGAAAGCTTTGAAGCTCGAAGCCTATAGATCCTCAACTCTGGGGCCATCGTGTCCGATGGAAGAGGGGCTCAGAATGGCTCAGATAATTCGGACAAGTTTCTCGTGTATGGCACTTGGGTACAGGATGCAGGGTGTAGCGTTCATGCCAAGGGCGCAAGGTTCAGGGTACTTGAAGGCTCATGGGACTTCGTAAGTAAGGTTATAGGTAGGTTATAATTAGGATAACCCCACTTAGGGGACTTATAACCCCAATTATAACCTACTTGCTAAGTCCCATGAGCCTCTAAGTATACTGCAAGTGCAAAGGGAACCAGGGGCTAAGACTGACCCTTCCCGGGTATGTTATCTAGGATACCCAGTAACCTAAGAATAAAAAGGCCTCTCTTTTTGGTATTGGGTAACTTTATAAGGAACCTAGGACTACAAAAAGGGCATAAGGGTACTACTGGGCATCCTAGATACTCTCCAAGAGCCCTAAGAACTCCAAACCCTGAACCCTACTCTGCCACCTCGTCGTAGCCGTTCTGGTAGCGCTTCTGGATGTAGACATACCTGTCGAAGCCCGTGAAGCCGAATCTGAACCCAAGACCAGCATCACGGCTTCTTGTGCTATTTGGTCCCTTTAGTTTAACTCCGAGTCCGTCCGAACTACCCTGGCTCTTGGGTTGTTCATATGAAGGGATTCTTAGGATCTTTAACAAACGAACCCAGAAACTGACCGTGAGCCGAAGTTCAGGGTCTGCGGTCCCGTCCTTTGCTTTCTGAAACGAAACTTCTACACGGCCCCGAGCACTACGCCTTACACCCTAAACACTCGCTCCAGCCACAACTCCAAAGCCCAGATGTCGAGACTCTCCCAGCTTTCGCCCTAATATAGGGCCTTAACAATTAGAATAGGGTTTGGGGGCCCATTTAGGTTTTGATAAGAAACCCCCCAACTGGGCCCCAAAACAGTATTGAAACTCCCAGCTTTCATCCAGGAGGCGGCGTGCTGTTCATGAACTCTGCAAGGTGGAACATGTGCTGCTGGGCGATGTACGCCAGTCGGAGGTTCCGATGCTTGTACACCTGTCAAGGTCTCGGTTTAGGATGTTTTTTTGTTTAGGGATTTCTGTCGATGAGGGTTTACCAGGACAACCTTGGCAGTGTAGAACTGGGAGAGTTGTGGCTGTGGCCAATCCATGTGGTCTTACGGTTTCAGACAAAGGGAGCACTGACTGAAGCTTCAACCTTCAACGTCAAACACCAGGACAACTTGCCGAATGTGTACCTGATTGCCGTCCAAACACCTCGGCAATAGCATGGAGACGGCCTAGATTTCGTTGGTTCTACGTACCTCGGTAAAGGCCAATGCGTATTTTTAAAAGGACCCCAAAATAAGGTACCCCTAATTTTCGGAAACTCCCAAATCCTACACAGTAATACACGACATCGTGCTCGGACGGGGGCTGAGTTGTCCGCCTTGGAGCTGCTCGAGTGGGGCCCCTCGCGAGAAAATCTTAATGGTTTCCGCATCCTAAAGCAGAACCTTCATTATGCAATGGCCTGAGCTCCAATATTGCTAGGGTGTCAGGTTTAGGATCAAGTGTTTGGGGTCTAGGGCCTAGGGTTTAGGGCATTAGGGTTTAGGATTATTTAGCTCTCTAGACACCAAGCCCAAACAGATACTGGCAGAGTTGCAGCTCCTGAAACCTGCGCCCTAAACCTACGATCCTGAACTCCTCGAGACTTGACACTCTACTTCTAACCCCTACAACCCCAAACCCTGAACTCCAAATCCCAAACCCTTGTTGCTACAAAGGGGTGGTGGTCAAAATTAGGGTCCCTTTTTGGGTACCCTAAATATCAGCTGCCGTATTATAATAAGGACCCTAGAAAGGACCCTAATTTGGTCAACCACACCCATATGGGAGTTTCCGAAAATTGGGGACCTTTATATAGTTCCCCTAAGTAGTAGGACCCCAAAATCATTTTGGGAAACTTCCATATTGCTTGGGCCGGGCCTCGCCGGGTGATTGCCCGTCAGGCCCGGGCACCGGCAGCAACTCCCCACAGAGGACGTTCAGCAGCGTACTCTTGCCTTGCGGGGTGTAAGGCTTCGTGCCTATGCTGTTTTTAGGGGCTTACAAGGGCCTTGTCAGGGGTCCATAAGTCATTCAATTCAGAAGTCAGAGGTTTTCCATAAGGACTTTGTGGGGGTGGCTTTTCTACTGGGGCTTGATAAGGGCTGATGATAGTGATAGTGTGGGTTGCAGTTGTGGTATAGTGGCAGTGTTTCGCCATCAAAACGACAATCATGACCATTACCATCATCACACCATCATCACCATCATCACCATCATCACCATCATCACCATCATCATCAACGTGACACCCCTAAATGGGAGGACAAGGCCTGCGCCCTCGAAGCCCCGGCAGCTATCATGACCGGTTGCCTATTGGCTCCAGAAACTTAAGTCCGTTCCGAAAGAGTATGAGTGCGAACCTCCATTTAAATCTGGGTTCCGGCACTGGAGTCAGGCTTCAGGAATTGCGACTGAACAGGTTTGGGTTAGGATGAGGAGTCTCAAGGTGTGGAGCTCGCACGGCTAGGTTGTAGAACCTCCGACGTCTAGAAGCCTTCCACCCGATTCCAAAAGGCCTAAAGGTGGCAAACCTAACTACTCGTCTGGTGGTGCTCTCAAAACCAGACTAAGGGTCCCGTATCTTCTGATTTCGCTGTCTCCGTACTTCTCAACCTTCGCGCTTCCATCACAGTGTCTCTACGAAGGAGAGAAAACCCGAGCCGGCACAATAAGGTCAGGGAAACACGGCGAAGGCTGGTCTCAAAGGGCTCCAATATGAAGCTCCAACTAAGGCTCTGCATATGAGGTACCCTTCATCCTACCTACGTTTACCTCACCTTTTGCGGCCTCCCATTTTCAAAAGGCCCAACCCAACCATCTCCAGAACTGCCGCGGGGCGGCAACATCCTCCGGGCCCTTTTCAGGTCCCCAAAATGGTACGGCACCCTTATAAAAAGGACCCCAGAAGGGACCCTAATTTTAGAGAACTACCCAATGAACCCCTCCCCGGCCTGCGCCGTTCGCACCGACGATGCCAATGCGGCTGGTAAGGCCGATCTTGCAGCTAATGTCCTTCCTGGTTCTATCAAAACTGAACAATAGGAAATAAAACGCGCCCTTTTCTTATCATCAAGGGGGACCATGAGGGTTAGGTAGGCACTCAGGTGCGGTCCTGGGCTTGAGGGTCGTCACTTGGAGGTTCATGGGTAGTTGCAAGTAGGGTTTATAAGTCCCCTAATATGCATTGTAAGTATAGCTACCCTACTTATAACCCTACTTCTAACTACCCATGAACCTCCAAGTGTTTCCGGTTTACGGTTTAAGCTGGCTAGGCGCGAAGGGCGAGTGTAGGGTTCAGTAGTTCAGAACTGCGGTTGTTGGGTTTCGGCGGGCTCCGGGTTCTGGTTTGATTGTTTCCGGACGTAAACTACTCTGGGTTTGAGGCTTCCAGGCTTGGCGCTGTTAGGGTCAGTTGGACACTGCGAAAGGTGCGATCCCCTTGCTCGCTTCGATGGCTTGTGTTGAGGAGGCTGGTCATGGATGATTCCGGACTTGATCTTTGGTGTTCTTAGGAGTCGTGGCTTGCGGGGCTTGCGGGGCTTTGGGCCTGCCATGGGTGGAGCACCCGGGGTCTGCGGGCAGAGAGTGTAGCGGCTTGTGATGCTGACGATCATCATCATCATCATCAACGTCATCATCATGAGTAGCAGCATCAACATCATCACCTTCATCACCTTTATCATCACCTTTACCATCATCATCATCGTCATCATCATCATCATCGCAACTTTGTTGTGGGCACTATGCCCATGATGATTGGTGGGTCCAGAGCCTTAGAGGCCAAGGTTCAAGATCATGGGGCCGTCGTCGTCGTAGGCAAAATACACATTCCTTGCGTGACGGAAAAGCGGGCCCAGAATAATGTAGATGCCTTTACAATTAGAACAGTATTTGGGGCTATATTCTTCTAGAATCACATAATGTCTATAAAGGGTTTTGGCTACTACTGGTTCAAACCCGAGCTCCTATGCGATTCGGGGCTTCGGGATATTGATGATGATTGTTCAGCGTCAAGTATTTCGGGGAGGAGGGAAAGCTTCGGTTTAGGTTTTGCTTCTGGTTGTGTCTGACGACGCGGGTCAGGCTTCAAGCAGCGGCTGCGTTGTAGCGGGGAGTAGTACTATTGCCATGTTTCTTATTCTGGTGCTTTTCCTACTAGTGGCATTCCAGCTCATATCCGCAGGGGCCACTATCTCGAATTCCTAAGGTCCTAAACTTGGTCGCAAGCCCCAAACCTGTGAACCTTATATGTGCAAGCCCAGCCTACAAGGCAACCAGAAAGCAAGCACTCCACTCAGAGCTCAGTGTTGGAGGATTAAGTCTTGAGACTGCGGAGCTTTCTCGCCTGCATAGGGCTTCGGTTCGCAGATTTTGAGGCTTAGGTTTGGTGGGTTCGGTTAGCTGCGTTCAGGTAGCTTCGGCCTGGCGACCCCCAACTCATGCGGAAACTCATCCGCGACACTTTTCGGGGTTTGGGGAAGCTCGGAAACAGCCCTCTGCCCCTTCCCACAAGGCTTCGGTCGTTGGAGGTGTTGGGCATGTGGGTTTGTAGGGCTGTTGGGTTTTGGGCCGAGGTTGGGGCGGATCCTCAAAACCAAAGAAAGCTCCGACATGGAAAATCCAGGAGCCCCTAGACAGGAACGCCTATACCCGAAGTTCATGAACCCTCAACTGCGAGCCTACTTCCCCACACCCTAAGCCCTTGAGCTCCATCGCCCCGAACCCCCGAAACCTCACATTCCATACCCCCAAGCCCTCTCAAGCTTAAACTCACTAGCAGAAGCACAGAAGGAAGCCAAAATCGAACACCTAAACTCCCAAGACCCCTAAACCCGAAACCCTAATAAACCCTAAAGCACCCTTGTCCTTTTAGAAGTAATAGACAGAGCCCTATACCTATATCCCTTCCTAGGAATTCTTTAAGAAGGCCTACTAGCCGGTCTGTTCATTCTTTTGGGGGAACCATGAAAAAGGACAAGACTACCCTATAAGAAGCCCGAGGGGCTTCAGCTCCATGACGGGCCGGGAGGTGGAGTGACCCTTCAGGGTGCCAGGGATGGGGAAGCTGATCTTCGACGCCTCGGAACAGGGATTTCGGGCCTCGGGGCTTGAGTTTTGGGGTGTTAGGGTTTAGGATTCAAGGTTCTTTTTTTGGGATTTAGTCTTGAGGATTGGGGTCCGAGGTTTCGGGCCTCAAGCTTGAGGTCGGGTTCATGTGTTGGGGGATGCTAGCATTTTGGTTCAGGGTTCATGTGCATTTAGGGTTTAGAGTATTTTGCCGATAGGCTCTGATGCCAGCCTTGCCAATGACGCTTAAGCCGAAACCCTCAAGCCCAAACCCCCAAACCCCCAAACCCCAAACCCCAAACCCTACTACACCCTAAAGACCACAGGCCCAAGTTTTTGAAGGCCGGACCTTGTCGAAGACCGCCGATGCTACGCCGCCAGACGCCTTATGGGCGGCCTCCTCTTCCAGGATCTCCTCAAAAGGTGTTTGGATTGGGGTGTAGGGTTTAGGGTTTAGGGTTTACAGGTTTTACAGTTTAGGTTTTAGAGTTTAGGAGTTTAGGGTCTAGGTTTAGGGTTTAGGGCTGGATGCCCTGGATGCTGTTCTACAGGGTCCGTAGAGCCTAAGGGCCCTAGTGTTTCAGTTCGATACGTGAAAATCCCTGGGTTAGCATTGGAGGGCTTGCCGCCTCCGGCAATCACGTAAGACCTTCAAGGTTCAGGGGTAAGTAGGAAATTGGAAAAGTTTAAAGTTTTTTTGGTTTCTGTCGGGTTCAGGGCTTAGGGTTTAGGGTGCGAATCAGCTCTTCTATAGATCCTTAACATCGGACGTCCTAAAGTTGAGTTTGAAAAATCCCAACCTTAAATCCCAGCCCCTGAATCCTAAACCCTAAAGCTAAATCCTCACATCCCTAAATCCCTAAACCCTGAAACCCTACAAGAGAACCCTAAACCTCAAAACGGAACCCTTTTAAAATATGCCTAAAACCCAAGACCCCGAAACAACCTGGAGCCCACCCGATCTCCTCAGGCTCGGCATCGTTGTCGAAGTTGTGGCGGCCAAGGAGGATGGCCTCCGCCTCCTGCTTACTTGGAGGATCATGGGACTTAGTAAGTATGGTTATACGTACCTTAATTGGGGTTATAAGTAATTATAAGTATAGTTACCTTTATTATAACCCTGGTTACTAAGTCCCATGATCCTCAAAGTAGGGTCTGGGCTTTACGGTTTTGGGGGGTGGGGTGGGGTGGGCGCCCCCTATCTCACCCCCCAAAAGGCCGAAACCTTGAATCCAGAACCCTACATCCTAGACCCCAAAACGAAACCTGAAACCCTTAACGCAAAAGCCCCAGAACCTGAAGCTGAAGCCTAAACCCTAAACCCTAAACCTTACTTGGAGGTTCATGGGCAGTTATAAGTGGGGACAAAAGTCTCCTAATATGGGTTATGAGTAGAGTTACCCCACTTGTAACTACCCATGAACCTCCAAGTAACCAACCCCTCGAGAGGCCCAGCGGCGTGCCTCGTCTGAGGAGATCCGGCGCGCCTTTCGGAACTCGTCGAAGTTGCCTCAGCCATCGAAAGCCCCCAGCTCTTGGGGTTTAGCGTTTAGGGCTTGGGAAAACCGAGTTCGGGTGGTTTGATGTATATTAATCGCTTCTTTGGCGCTTAAGGGCTTGTTGGGAAGTACGGCTTGGGTGTGGGAATTAGGATTAGGGCTCTCAATAAGGTCCCTTTTGAGAGAGCCAGAAGTAGGGTTCGGAAGGGTACCCTTTAAGGGGTCTCCCTCATCATGGCGGTTCAGGGCAAACCTGCAACCATGCGATATGGGAGTATCCGATAATCGGGCACCCTAATACAGTACCCTAATTAGTCGGATCCTTTTATAAGGACACCAACATAAGGCACCCCGAATTTTCGGAAACTCCCATATCGACAGTTCAAAAGCAGGCTGCCAACGCCCCCACAAGGCCGGGTGGGAATTCAGGGCTTAGCCGTTTAGGGCTTAGGGATACGGATAAGGACACAAATGCCACAAGTAGTTCTGCAACCCCTGTTGTAGAACCCTTATTGTAAAACCATTTGGTATAGAACCCTTATCATACAACCCTTATTATCGAACCCTTCCAACCCTCATTATCGAACCCTTCTTCTAGAACACTCATTGTAGGCCCAATTTTATTGAACCCTAGTTATAGAAATCATGTTCTTGTAAAACCCACGTCCTACCATGCACCGCGCAAGCCCTCAAAGAAGGCTCACATCACAGCCGCGGGTGAATTCACGAGTTTCAGGAGATCTCAAACGCTTCAGGGTTTGAGGGTTTGGGGCTTAGGGTTTAAGGTTTGGGTTTAAGTTTAGGGTTCGGGCTTAGGGTTCAGGGCCAGGGGCGATTGTATGCTGACAAAGATGCCTTCGAAGTACTCCAGCGTGCGCTTGGAGCTATACCTCAGTGCTGCAGTGCGTTTAATACTACTACGAACCCCCCCTGATCCAAACATCTACACTCATTGATCTTCAAATGGGCCTTTTATACCCTCACCGAAAGCCCTGCCTAGACCCCAAAAGTAGGTAAAGTAATGGCCCAAAACCTTTAACAGGCCATTATTCTACATACTTTGAGGGTCCAGGTGATCTGAACCCTTCTGCATGTGGGTGGTTGTCAAAATTATGGTCCCTTTTTGGTCACCCTAAATATTAGGTGCCTAATTATTATAATAGGGACCCAAAAAAGGGACCATAATTTTGGCCACCACCCATGTGTACCAGGCTTCAGTTCTCAAGCTGCACTTTTTGGAGCCTGGAGTTTGTCAGCAAGGTTTAGGGTTTAGGGTTTAGGGTTTTGGGTTTAGGGTTTAGGGTTTAAGGTTTCCCCTCAGCAATTAGGGGCCCATTATGTAGGGGATCCGTCATCCTACGTGCCTTCATCCCACCTTTTGAGGCCCGTGAGCAGGATTTCGGTTGTCGGTTCAGCGGTTGAGGATTAAGGTAGAGGGTTGGAGGAGAAGATCAAACGCAAAATGTAGTATAGTAGAATTATAATAAGAAGCCCTAATTAAGGTAGTTGCTTAGAGGAGTTCTTGGAAATTCGATAATATCAACCCAGAGCCTCAGCGGGGCCATGGGCAGATGTTGGACCGTCCAGTACTGAACTGCTGGTTGCGCACAAAGCATCGAAATCCAATCCCATCTAAAACCCTCAAGCCAAAATTGGCATCGAGACCGTGATAACCCTAAACTTTGGCCCTAAACCTCAAAATCTAACTCCCAAACCCCCCTCCCCCCGCACACTCGAAATCCGAAGAACCCTGGACTCGGGAGGCTTCAACGGGCTCTGATGTGGATCTTGAGCCTGCACCTCCCAAACCTCCTGATTTAGGATTTACAGTACACTCCATAAAGTTGGAAGCCGGATTAAGGCCAAATAGTGCTGGGATTCCCTATACATTGCTCTGAAGGATTGAGGCTATTGGGTGTCCAACTTTTAGGCTTCAACTGTAGGGCAGGGCAGTTGAGGCTTTTGGGTTTGAGTGCGCCAGATTTCTTCGTAACGAACCTGCTCGCAGTCTCAGGCAGACTTCTTGAGACAACATGCAACCCAAAGAGCCCAATATCCCTCAATCAATACCTTAAATTCCTAGGGGTTTCATACTTCATACTATAGTTTACGCTATATTCCTGAATTGAAGGGCATTGGGCTCTTTGGGAACTTGGAGCGCAGCATTGGGCGCTTTGCAGTTGGGGAGCTTAGGGTTCAGGGCTTAGGGTTTAGGGTGTCGGAATCAGGGCTTAGGGTCCAGGGTTTAGGGTTTAGGGTCTTTCCGGGAGAGTCGAGCGAAGTGGTCACCTCAGCATGAACCGGATTAGACGGAACCTAAACGATTACAAGTTACAAGTCAAATATCCATTCCAGGCTGAGAGTGAGCCCAGACGTCTGAACAAACCCTCAGCACTTGGAACGTTTCGACCCTGACTTCTGCACCACACATCGGGGGCGTGCTGTAGCCATGTAGAGCTTACTGCAGGGGTTAGGATTTCGTAGGGGCGGATGCAGGAGAAAGACTAAACAGTGGGGCTCCTATCCTGTCCCGTGCCGTGACTTTGTAGATATTCATGTTGGCAGCTTGGCTGCTGGATGATGTCGGTGCACACCTTGTTCAGGAAGACTGGGTCGTGCGAGATGACCATCCTTATACAGGGAGGTAAGGTTAGTTCAAGGGTCAAGGGTAGCCACGCTTAGCCACATGCATAGCTGAACCACCCTTCTTTGCAGTTCGACTGCAGTCAGAACACTCTAACCACATAATGACTGCATTTACCTTGCATAGAATGCAAACTACTTATCCGTACATGTGAACCTCCGTGCATAGCGAAGGCAGTAGAAAGTAAGCTGAATCTGAAGCATGTCGACCCTCAGAAGTAGCAGGACATCAGCGTGAGGTTGAGGGGTTTAGGCGTTTAGGGTGTGGCTGTTTAGGGCTTAGGGGCTTATATAAGCGGGTTTGGGGTGTGTGTCTCCTCTGCGGAGAATGCTGCTTCAAGAGGATGCTGGATCAACTGACGCAGTGCCCAGCCAGGAATCGTCGGCACTGGCTACACCCTAAACACTAAAAAAACAGCAAAACCCGTACAAATCCTACAAGCCCTCAGCCCTGAGTCCTTCAACACCTAAGCCCCTGCAAACCCAAAGCCCTTAGCCCAAAACAATCTACAAGCCCTAGCGGAGCAAGACCTCCACGCACATACACTCACTGAAATAAGTAATGTAGGGGGCCTTAATGATTAAAATAGGGTTCTTTTACAGGGTTCTTCTAAGGGATACTATAAGGGTACTATAAGGGATTTAGGGATCTATAATTAGAATTGGCCTTTGGGGAATATTATGCTAGGGCTATAATAAGGAACCTGTTCTAATAATTAAGGCCCCTAGATTACTGCAAGACCCTACTTTTACCACAGTGCCAGGTTTCAAGGTGGTCTTCGTCATCGACCGCAGGTAGTTTGACAGCCACTCGACGGACTGCTTGTCCTGAGCCGGAAAGGTTTTGCAGTTTAGCGGCTCAGGATTGTTGGGTTTCCATACGGAACCCTCGATTTTTGTTCGGGCATATGTCGGGGAATCATAGTAACGAACCCTACAAAAGTAGGTTATCCAGGATTCAGGTTCTACACAAGACACGACGGAGAATGAACAAAAATCAGGGTTCAGGCAGACGTTCCGACTTGGCAGGAATGGTGAAATCCGTCTGCTCCACTTCGACTTCGTGGCCGCTGATTTCGGCGACTTCAGAGCGGGCGACATGCTCAGGAGACGAAGAACCTCAAACCTAAACCCCAAGCTTCTTAAACCTAAACCCTAAACCCCAAACTTCTCAACCCTAAACCCTATACAAACTCTAAACCCCAAGGTGCTGCCTTGAACGACTCGAGGTCTACTCTCGGAAGGCACAGGCTTACTATAGGGGCCTTAATGATTAGACTAGGGTTTTGGGCTATAATATACTATAATTATAGAACGGAGCCCCCAAAACAGGCCTTCGTGATTAGAATAGGGCTTTGTGCAATAAAATGCTGTAATTATAGAATAAGGAGCCCCCAAAGTAGCATAGGTAATTATTTAAGCCCCTATAGTAATAGTTAGAATAAGGAGCCCCCAAAGTAGTATAGGCAATTATTTAGGCCCCTAGAGTACAGGGCCTTTGCCAGTGTTGGACGAACTGGAAGGTCGACGGCGGGCAGACAGAAGCTCCCTCGTGTCGTTTTAACAACTGCACGGCCTACAAACAAACATACTAACATGTACTAGCATATACAATACTATACTATAACCTTCTATATACAAAAATGTGCTATATCATACTATAACGAACTATCAGGTACCATAACATGCTATAATATGCTACAATATGACGGGCAAGGGAGGCTATGGGAGCTCAAGTGTGTACCCTAATCGACGAAACCCTGTATCGTTCGGTCGGAAATGTTCCGGCAGAGAAAAGTCTGAATATTCTCTTCCAGGGTCCAGGTGATTCGTGGGCTCATCAAGCAGCAAAATGTCGCAATCCCGCATCATCGCCTCAGAAAACGGGGACCCTGATATGAATCCTAAATTAATCCTAAGTGACATAAGTGACTGGATTCTTGTTGCAGTTACCCCGACCCTAAACAAAAAGATCCTTATTGTAAGGACCCCCAAATTGTCATGTACCCCTTCGTGCCGCCGGCATCGTCTATTCTCGAGCTTTCGGTGCTTAGAACTGGCGGATGGGGACTGGTGTAACAAGTTGGGTTCCTTAAAAACGTTCCAAAAGGGTGACAATGAGGGATGATGGGGTTCAGTATAGGGACGTTGATAATCTGTATCGGGTTTGGATGTGCAGTACATTATAGTCATTGTAAGGGTATTGGTAGCTATTTCGGCTTCAATGTTGTGTAAGAGGTCGGTGCAAGAGGTCGCCATTGGCGAATCCGGATTCAGTAGCATCTAGAGTTCCGGAGTCAGGGCAGCAGGGTTTAGGATCTAGAGTTTAAGCAGCTTAGGGTCCAAGCACCCAAAAGATGGGAGGCCAGAAGGGGGGGTTACGATTCTTGGGGTAGGGATCCTATTATTGGAACCCTAATCCCTACTAAACCGGGTTTAGGATTTAGGGTTGAAGGCTTCGGATTTAGGGTTCAGAGTTCGGGGTTTAGTTTAGCGAGACGGTAGAACCCAACAGCCTAAAATGCCCTGGAACTCCTGGAACCACGAAAATCCTAGAAAAATGAACCTGAAATCCCAAATTGCCCAAAACCCGAAATACGAAATCCCCAACCCGAAACCCTCCAACCCTTACATCCCTAATCTCTGAACCCGGATAGTAACCCAAATAGTAGCCCTTAGTGAGGACTCCATGCGCAAACCTAAACCGTAGGCCTCTGGCCCTACACCGCAACCCGTAACCCTAAGCCCTTCGGTTAAGGCGGCCGGCGGAAGCTAGCAGGAGTTTCATGCGCCAGCCGCCGGACAGCTCATTCACCTTAGCTGGGTCCCTGCTAGGATAGCCAAGAGGATCCTAAAGACTTCCTCCAGGAGCTCCTTCAAGAGGGTTTTGGGTTTAGAGCTTATGGTTTGATCACCCTTTTTATTTGTGGGCCCCGTTCTAAAACAAATCGGAGGGACCCCCAAGCGACAACAGCAACAAGGAACCATAACCATGACATTCATGTTTGGTTGGGTGGAAGCCATGGTCCCCTATAATTTATAATAGGCTCGGCAACGCCAAGAGTAGGATCCTGGTTTTCAGGGTCCGTTGGGTATCAAGGGTACGAGTTTAAGGGTTTCGGGAGGTCGGGATTCGGCTTTGGGGAGTGAGTTTGCGGGGCTTGTGGTGTTTTAAGGGCTTCAAGGTTTGGTCTCTTACTATTGGGCATAAACAGTTGGGTAAGCACTTCTGTACGATTCGAGGTTTCAGAAATGCACCCCTGGATCTTGAAGTGTTTAGGCCAGAGGCCCCGGAGGCTTCCCCAAAATCGACCATACCACACTGCTCAGAACCCCAAACCCACAAACCCCACGCCTGAAGAGGTCCCACAAGCCCTGCAGGCTGGGATTCCTGGTAGCTGAAGATGTAGGCTTTGGGGCTTCCCGCTTCGGGCTTAGGCTTGTGAACCTAGGAGGGCATAATGAACAGAAGCGCCACTTCCCAAACTCCTGTCCCCCACAAACCGAAATCCCAAACCCTAAACCCCAAACCCTAAACCCCTAAGCCCGAAACCCTAAAACCCTCATCCCAGAGGCAGACTTCGTCTGCATTTCCTTGGGGAAGCCCACTTCCAACAAGGCGGCCTCGCAAAGTGACGACGTGGAGGACAGCAGAGGTGGATCGTGATACCAGCGGTAGTAGGGTGGTAGTAGTAGTAGTAGTAGTAGTAGTAGTAGTAGTAGTAGTAGTAGTAGTAGTAGTAGTAGTAGCAGTAGTAGCAGTAGTAGCAGTAGTAGCAGTAGTAGCAGTAGTAGCAGTAGTAGCAGTAGTAGCAGTAGTGCAGCAGTAGTAGTAGCAGTCGTAGTAGTGGTGGTGGTGGTGGTGGTGGTGGTGGTGGTGGTGGTGGTGGTTGTGGTGGTGGTGGTGGTGGTAGCAGAAGTAGTTGTAGCAGTAGTCGTCGTCGTCGCCATCGCAATAATAACAATAAGAAGAAGACTAACTAAAACTATTAATACTAGGCTGTAAACATAACAATATTAATGATAAGTAGTAATGATAATAACAATAATAATAATAATAATATATTAGCACTAGTAATACGAATAACGACACTCTGAAGCCAAGCTTTAACCTCAGATCGAACTCTGATCTCAAACAACCCACAAAACCTGGCGACCCCCAGGCAACGCTAGGGTGGTAGTAGTAGTAGTAGTAGTAGTAGTAGTAGTAGTAGTAGTAGTAGTAGTAGTAGTAGTAGTAGTAGTAGTGGTAGTAGTAGTAGTAGTGGTAGTAGTAGTAGTAGTATCTTCGGGTCACCGAAAGGGCACAATGCGCAGAAAATAGGATCCGGAGAACCCATCTAAAGCCCCTGGTCCCAAGTTGTATCCTTTGAATCGCCCAGCACTCACGAAACCGAAACCGCAAGGAAAAATCCAAAACGCATCAGCACGCTATGTAACCCCTGAAACCCCCGAGCACCAAGCTGAGAAGTCTTGAGGTCCAAGCCTTTTTCGAGCGAAGGAGAACCTGTGGCCTACTCCCTGAAACCTTGGTCCTTGACCCAGAAACCCGACGAGTCCCACCAATCGCCGAAAGGGACTTGGGGTTTAATGCTTTAATGGTGAATCAACCCCGAAATCCCATCCTGCATGTCGTCGTCATGCACCTCCTCCCAGGCACATGGGGTGCCGGTGTGGCGCTAAGGTCTTCATACGATAGGTGACTGAGCAGGAAACTGCAGAAGATTGAAACCGTGTGCAGCTAACGGGATGGGGTATTGGCGTCAGTTCATCTCTTCACCCTAAACCCTAAACCCTACTGCAGACCCATAAGCCGCGGGCCGGCTTCAGCTTTAGGCGTTCGTGATTCGCGATTAAGACCCAGACTAATCATAAGGACCTTGGAGGGGTAGGGAGCAGGGGGGTGGGGGGCCTTCATACCTATAATGAGGACTTCATAAGGCCTCTTTAAGGAAGTATAGTCCCCTACCCCCCTCCCCCCTACCCCCTTAAGGTCCCTATGAACGAATGAGGCGGGAAGTGCTCCTGATGCTTGAGCTCCCTGCTGCAGAACTGGACGGCGTTGAGGTCGCTGGCTTCTACCAGGACCTGCAGGCACAAAGGTAGCAGGTAGCTTAGGTAGCTTAGGTCTTAGGTAGCTTCTAGGTATCTTCTTCAATCTTAGAAGGCGGGGTCGTCGTACGGCGCTGTGTAAACTAGGGCTTGTTTCTGTAGACGTTTCTCATGGCGAGGCCTCTCAACAGGAACAGCATGCATATCTATGTATGGTATGACCCTGCAAGTAAGACTCAGCTGAACTGCCATACCCCCACTCTCTCCAGGGTCGGCCCCGTCAAAATCATGCTAAAGGTTCACCACAAGACCCGGCAACAAGTTACTACTACAAGCTGGCCTGGGGAAGGGGCGGACTCATGAATCTAAAGAACCCTCAAATACAAACACTACACTCGAAACCTAGAATCCTAGAATCAAAGCAGCCCCCAAACCCCGGACCAGCTTATCTATCTGTCGACATACTCTTCTATTTTTTCCAGCCAGGCCTGTATGCTTAGACTTCTGTCCCAAAATCCTTGAAGCATGAACAGCCTTAGAGTTATGGTTTTCTTCATCCACACACCCATCCCTGGGCCCTGAACCTGTAAACCTAGACTAATCCCAAACCCCAAAACCTCATCGCTAAATCCTAAACCCCAAGCCCCCGAAAGCCCTCTAAACCCTGAACCATAAGCCCCTGCACTCAACCCCGACCCCAGCCCTAAATCCCTATCCCTGAACCCGACAATAAACCGTCAACCCAACTCTGAACCCTGAACCCGAAACCCTAAACCGTCAACCCTCAACCCTCAACCCCAAGCCTGAACCCTACTTGGAAGGGCAGGGGACTTAGTAAGTAGGTTATAAGTAGAGTTATAAGTACCCTAAATGGAGTTACCCCAATTATAACCCTACTTATAACCTACTTACTAAGTCCCCTGCCCCTCCACGTAAACCCTCAAACCAGTCTTTGTGGTGTCTGGGGCAGCCTCCGGCTTCACATGCAGCGTCTTCACATCTGCGGACATCCTGGCTTTAGAGGCTTAGGGGCTCTGGAGTTTCGGGTTTAGGGTTTAAGGGTTAGGGTTTAGGGGTTAGGGGTTCTGGGGTTTCGGGTTGAGAGTTTAGGGGTTAGGGGTTTAAAGGCTTTAGGGTTTAGACCTTAGGGGTTTACGGGTTTAGAGTTAAGGAGTTAGGGGTCTGGGATTTTACGGGTTTTTATGGGTTCAGGGTTTAGGCGAGGGCTTAGGGGTAAAGGGATCTGCGTTATAGAGATTAGGGCTTCGGCCGGGTGCCTGTTTAGTAGATTTTTGTGCTTGGCTATGAGGTTTGATCGGGTTTGTGGGTTCAGGATTTTGGGCTACGGGGCTTTAAGGCCGTGGGTCAGGGCTTTAGATTTTACTTTACAGGGTGGGGTTCATGCCTCTTTGCCACTGGGCTTGAAGTTGTGTGTGTTTTTAGTCCACCGAATATGGAGCCTTGGTGCCCAAAGCTTGCACTTCTCAGGGTTGGGGCTGTCAACTCGAATTGGGAATGGAGCGCTGTGCAAGGAGCTTTATGTGCCCTCTTCTTCGGTCATTGGGAAGGCAGCCTTTGGCACAGAACCCACGAAAGAGTCTTCACGAAAACCTGACTCAGAAATCCTCAACCCCGACCCCCACGCCAACCCACAAGCACGTGCAACGTGGGACGCTCGACGCTATACTATACTCCTAGACAGCAAACCCTAAAGCACGGAAAGCCTAACCCTAAAACTGTACTTAGCCGCCGAGACCTCAAACCAAAAGCAAACGGCGCCCAAGCGCCCAGAGACGCCACGCGCAGCGATGGTGCTCATCAGCGTAGTCTTTCCCGCACCGTTTCGGCCCACCTGGGTCTGTCTACAAACTATCTGCTTGTCCTCTGCACGTTTATATAAAATATCTTACAAGTTGCTCATCGGTATCTCATGTTTGAGTTATATAGGTGCAAAGAAGATATTGTTCTGCACGTATTTTGGTGCCGCACTTATGCTTGTATCCGTACGCATCGTCACTTACAAGTTGCTAATCGGTATCTTACATGTTTGATATTTCAGTTATGTAGATGCAATAAAGATATTGTTCTGCACGTATTGGTGCCGCACTTATGTTTGTATCCGTACGCATAGTCACATAGTCTCTTGGTACTTGCACGAGAAGTAGCAGACTAAAGCTACTGCTAACTACGACGACGACTACGAGTACGACTATGACTGCGACTGCGACCACCACCACCATCACAACCACCAGCACCACCAGCACCATCAGCACCACCAGCACTACCAGCGCCACCAGCACCACCAGCACCACCAGCACCACTAGCACCACCAGCACCACTAGCACCACCACTGCGACGACGACGACTACGACTACGACTACGACGTCGACGACGGAAATTAAAGCAATAACTATACCTGACGAATGCTATCACAACTGATAAAGCACCTCAGCCCCCGGCGACGCCGTATCTTCGGCCTCGCCGAAGGTCCAGCACGGCGTCCTTGAGCAGCATGTGGCCACCTTTTTGGCTTAATGTAGGGACCTCCATAATTAGAATAGCGTCTTGGGGCCCAAAATACTGTGGGTTTTTGTTAAGGCCCCTTTGTTAGGCTTTCGGGCCGTTCTTAGAGGCCGGTGGTAACCTTTCAGTACCCTTATGGTGACCTAGAAGTGACGTGTTAGGGCTCCCAGGAAGCCCACGACTCCTTGTTCCTTGTAAGACTCGGAACCGGCTTGGGGTCTGGGGTTTAGAGGTTTAGGGTTTAGGGGTTCAGGGCTTGGGGTGAGGATAGGAACCGGGCCACGAAGTGGAGCATGCTCTCGCCAGCATAGCTGGGATTCAAGACACCCCCCCGCAGATGCTAAATATGGGGGGGAAAAGAAATCCGGCGACATGCTTGCGGTCCGTAAGATACGACTCAAAGCCCTGAAACCTAAACCCTTGAACCCTAACCCTAACATACACGGTATGAAACCCTGAAGAACCTCGGACACATAAAACGATAGGCGCAGCCAAAAAGCTGCAAAAACCACCGATTAACCCTCTGCCTCCAAATAAACAATACCGCTAAACAACAAAACAGATTATTCCCTAAACCCTATACACCCAAATATGAAACCTCAAGAATGTGAAAGCCCTACGAGGACAGCTCGTCACCCCCACTGGCTCCGCGTGGCCGCGCCTCCGTACATCATCCGCAGGCCCTCGAGGTAGATCAGAGAGTTCTCGGACCTCGTTTTATGAACTCATTCTTCAGCCCTCTCTGAGTCCAATGCGTAGGGTTTAGGGCTTCGAGTTCCGGGTTCAGGGTTCAGGGCTTCGGCTTAAGAGTTTCGGGTTTAGGGTTTAGGGCTTCAAAGTTTAGGGTTTCGAGCCTGGGGTCTCGGGTTTAGGGCTTCGAGCTCAGGGTCTCGGGTTCACGACTTCGGAAAATTTAGGCTTTAGGTTCCACGAAACTCTGCCAGCTTTGTGGCAAAGCTTCAGGGCGTGAGAGCCCCGGAAGACTTTCAGTTTGAAGGTGAGGTTGAAGGGTACGAGAAGGGAGCTTCAGAAAATTAGGAAGCACCTTATTTGGGGGTCCCTATAATAAGGATAAAACGGTTTAGGGTATCATATTAGGGTCCCTACTTTCGGAAATTCCCATAAGTATGCAGGTACTGTGATGGTTCTAGACAGGCTGCGGGCTTGGGATTTGGGGATTGAGGCGTCAGAGTTTCGCCTAAAGCCCAGGGCTTTTGCCCAAGCGGCTGGGTGGTCAACAGATGAAGGTGTCGGGTTGCTCCCGGCCGTGGACCCAAAAACCTAAAGGCTTGCGGCGTAAGGGATTCTCTAAACCCTAAACCCAAAAACCTAAAAACCTCAACCTAAAACCCGAAACCCTAAACCTAAAACCCTAAACCCTAAACCTAAAACCCTAAACCCTAAACTTAAAAACCTAAACCCTAAACCCAACCCAAAAAACCTAAAGGCTTGCGCACTCTTCGGATCTTTCGGGTGGCGGGCCTCCGGCTGATGTGCTCCTCCTCCTGCTGATCCTCGACTCCCTCCTCGGCGATCAAAAGCATGAGGACCCCAGAAAGAGCAAACTTTATAGAGGGGTCTTTAAGGGCTACTATAAGGGATCTATAAGGGTACTAGAATATAGGGGCCTTCATAATCCTATATCTTACCTTTGGCTTGTAGGGACTGGAGGAATAGTAGTAATGGTAGTTATAGTTGTACCCCATTCCTCCATTCCCTACTTGCCAAAGGTAAGCAGAAAGAGCAAAGAAGGAATCCGATTCAAGGGCAGTAGTCCTTTGCATGGCTTTTAGATATATGATACTGCAACTATACTAAACGATACATCCTCATATTATAGGGCCCTGAAAACTTAGAATCTTAGAACAAGGTCTTGGGATATACAAGGGCATCCTCAGAAATCCGATTGGTCATTCTTTAGGGCAAGCGGCGGAGTCCTTCGGTTGATGAGATAAATCCTGCATTACCCATAATAAGGAATATACCATAATTCCCATATCTTCCCTATTATGGGTAATGCAGGATTTATGTCATCAACCGTTCCAGCCGCCCAGCCTCGATTCCGAAAATTAGGGGTACCGTATTTTGGGGCCCTTATAACAAGGATCCTACTGTTTAGGGTACTATATTAGAGTCCCCTGTTTTCGGAAACTCACACAGTTTTAACCCTCAACCCGAAACTTGAGACCCCGATGGGCTGCTAAGTGCCCCTAATTGATTGCAGTTGTCCTCCCTTGCGTCCTCCTCTTCCCACCGCCATCACCACTACAAAGACAAGTACAGGGACAGAGGATGCGCACGGAAGCTTCGTAAAAGTAGGAACACTGACCTCGTCCTGTATTTGGAGCAGCAGCATACTCGATCCTCACCATCATCACCATCATCATGTTCCTCCTACGAAGAAGCCGAGGCTCGAAGACCTTGTCCAAGAAGGCCTTCAAGCCCAAGGCGGCAATGGCACTGCCTTGCACACCAAACCCAGGGGCTGAGCTCTCGGCTCAGGATGTTCGGGCTTAGGGCTTATATAGGGGTTTAGGGTTTTAGGGTTTAGGGGTTTGAGTTTAGGGTTTAGGGGTTTAGAGTTTAGGGTTAAAGGGCTTTAAGGGTAGAGTTTAAGCGTTTGGGGCTTCAGGTGCAGAGTTTAATGTAGGCAAGTATTGTACCTTCCCGGAAGAAGTGCCCCGGTGCCCAAGAAACATGAGGTGGTCTTCGGACTGAAACCTATATACGCGCAAATTGCACAGTCGAAACTGCGATGGGAACCCACTTGCTAACTCTACACCCGAAAAAAACCTTCGGGAAGCCCCAAGCCCCAAACAGCCCAAGTCCTTTCCCGAAACGCCAAGCCCCACGGCCCCCAAACCACAGAAGCTGCCTATTATGAGGTGGGTCCGCGCGTGTTCGACGGAGCTTTGCAACTTTTCTAGCTGCAGTGTTTCTATCTCTCTATCTTTCTATCTAACCTTGTCTAATCAAATCTAGTCTATCTGTCCGTCTATATACGTACGACACAAAACCTCCTGTCGTCGAACCCGAGCCACCTGCAGCATCCAAGTCCTTCTTGTCGACAATTGGTCTCAGCTCCTGTGGGGGATCTACTGGGAGGTTCATGGGTAGTAGGGCTCGGGTTCCTTTAGGGGATCTATAGGGTTTAGGGATGAGGAATTAGGTTCATTTGTATTTAGAAGTAGGATTAAGTAGGGTTGTGCGCAGGGTAACTGTACTTCTAACCCTTTCTAGGGAACTTATAACCACTTACAACTTCCCGTGAGTCTCCAAGTAAGGCTCATTTGGAAGGTCTCGAATTCAGGTACGGCTAGGGTTCTATAAGGGTTGCGGATTTAGTACGGCCTTTTTCGGAGCGCACTGATATTACGGTGCAGGGCCTGGTGTTTAAGGGTTCGGGGGCTCGGGGCTCAGAGCTTGAGGGTCGGGAGCCTCCTTACTGCAGCAGTCGTCACGACAAAGAAGCATGCTCAATATGGGAGTTTCCGAATATTAGGGTACCTTATCTGGGGTCCTTATAATAAGAGTCCTACTATTTTGGGTACTATATTAGGGCCCCCTATTTTCGGAAAGATCGATCGTAGAGCTCCTTTCGTTACACTGTATTACACCCTGAACCCTTAACCCTCAACCCATAGTGTTCAGGGTTGAGGTTTCTTGGGGGGGCGGTAAGGTTTAGGTTTGGTGTTTTTGAGGGGGGTTGAAGGTTTCAAAATCTCGGCGGCAGCTGGGGCCTTGTCCACCAATGCTTGGTAGGGTTGAGGCTTCTTTTCAGAAGTGTGTATCACCTTCTTCGAAACCAAAAGCCCTGTTAGCCATCCATAACAGCCCCTATGAAACCACAAGAATCTAAGAAAGATCAGATAAAGCCCCTTATCAAATGCGGCTGGTCTCTCCTCTTCGATCGCCTCGTCGGCACCATCGCGAGTCTTCGATTCCTCACCCGACTGCGTTAGAAAACACGGAAGCGCTTTAGGGCTTCAGGGTTTGGGGTTTCGGGTACTTCGTTTCGGATGTAAGGTGTAGGTTTGGGCTGATTTTGGCTGGGTTTAAGGCTTCTGGTTTCTGTCGGTCTAGCCCTTTATGTTCAGGGTGAACGCAAGCCTCTGATGAGTTGAAAAACAACCTTCCTTTGAAGGCCTTGATACAACTGGAACCCTTTGACAGGGCAGGGCGGCGCAGTATTGGTCGGGCTCAAGATTTAAGATTCACTTAGAGGATCATGGGACTTAGTAAGTAGGTTATAATTGGGGTTATAAGTCCCCTAAGTGGGGTTATCCTCATTATAACCTACTTATAACCCTACTTCCTAAGTCCCATGAGCCTTCAAGTAGGGTCTCATCCTTCGTTTCGGGCAATACCCATCCAAGGTGCCATGCAGCAGGAGATCAGGACGGCGCAGATGTATTTGCCTGGCTTCCGGCATGAGCTCTGGGTCTCAGGCAGTACCAAAGTTCACATGGGTAGTTGTCAAAATTACGGTCCCCCTTTGGGTAAAAGTGTTTTTTTTTTTGCTGTCGTTGTTTTTTTGCTGTCGTGGCGGGGCGCGTTTTTTTTTGTTGCTGTCGTCCCTGCGGGGCGCGTTTTTTTTTTTTGCTGTCGTCCCTGCGGGCCGCTTTTTTTTTTTGCTGTCGTCCCTGCGGGGCGCGTTTTTTTTTTGCTGTCGTCCCTGCGGGCGCGTTTTTTTTTTTTGCTGTCGTCCCTGCGGGGCGCGTTTTTTTTTTTTTGCTGTCGTCCCTGCGGGGCGCGTTTTTTTTTGGCTGTCGTCCCTGCGGGGCGCGTTTTTTTTTGCTGTCGTCCCTTTTTGTCTTTTTGGCTGTCGTCCCTGCGGGGCGCGTTTTTTTTTTGGCTGTCGTGCCTGCGGGGCGCGGTTTTTTTCGCTGTCGTTGCGCTCCCCGGGCGCTTGTTTATTATCATCATTGTTATTACTACTACTATACTATTACTATACTACTACTACCACTACAACAACAACTACTACTACTACGACGACGACGACTACTACTACTACTACTAGCACTACTACTACTACTACTACTACTACTACTACTACTACTACTACGACTACTACTACTGCTGCTACTACTGCTACGACAACTACTACTACTACTACTACTACTACTACTACTACTACTACTACTTGTTTGGCTTCTGCATGGCGCGTCGACTGACTGCATAGCAGGTGACAGTTGAGTATCGAAAGGTTGGACCTTACAGCGATGCGAAGCAAAACTACTGCTTTTGTTTCGCCGTTGTGTTGTTGCGCGTGCCGGGGTTTCTTGCTTCGCACGTACTACACACCCCTCAAACGCATGTCTTCCGTAATAGTGATGACGGAATACGTATACTACAGACAAGCATTCGGTCGGAAACATGTCTGTATGACAGAATCAAGGCATATTCCACCCATATATTCCTTCTAGGAAAGATACGTCTTCTCAGCTCACCTCCACATCGCCCTACCTATACTACACTACTACTCCTGCTGCTACTACTACTACTATAGTACGGGTGGAGTTCTATTTCGGTCCGTTTTTTTTGTTTTCGGTTCTTTTTGTTCTTATTTGGGCCCCCACGTCCTATTATTTACACACGATGCCGGCTGAATGTGTCGCCCCATGTGGTGCCTTGCACAATTTTGGCTGATTTGATTTCGATGTCTGAATGGTGTTTTGTTTCTAAAAGACTCATCTCAGGCATCGCGGGTTTCAAGAACGACTCCTATATAGGCTGTCATGCAACCTTGCGCGCGGCTTAAAACAGCGGGCCCCATTCGCAATCACGATGCTCGCATGGCTGGTTTACAACAAAATCATATGGGCGACGGGGCGGGGGGAGGGCCGGGGTTAAAGGGGGGCAGCCAGTCAGGATGCTCGCATGCTTGGTTTTAAACAAAACGCATATATGCTGCCATGCAAGCTTGGCACTCTCGCACGCGCGGGACAGGCTTCCCATTTGCAAACACATATTTCGCAAGGTGAATGGCGTTGTTTCAAGAACGCACATATTATGCAGGGTGTGTTTCAGCAACGACCCCTATGCTGTCACGCAAGCTTGCAGACGGCTTGAAACAGCGGTGGGGTTGGGGAGGCAGCCCCCCCCGCCCACACTTGCAATTATGATGGTCTCGTGGTCGGTTAAAGCAAAAAAAGAAACAGTGCTGTCAAGCAAGTGCGCACTCTCGCATGCCCGGCGCAGGTTCCCAATTGCAAGCACCCTTGTCACAAGGTGAATGGTGTTTTGTCTCTAAACGACTCATCTCAGGCATCGCGGGTTTCAAGAACGACTCCCAGGCTGTCATGCAACCTTGCGCAAGGCTTAAAACAGCGGGGGGGTTGGGGGGGGGCAGCCCCCCCCATTTTCAATCACGATGGCTGGTTTAAACAGCGGGGGCGTTGGAGGGGGGCGCAGCCCCCCACATTTGCGATTCTATGATGGTCGCGCGGACGGCTGAAACAAAAAACGCATATGTGCTGTCAACCAAGTGCCACTCTCGCATGCCCGGCGCAGGCTCCCCGATTGCAAACACCCTTGTCACAAGGTCAAAAATGGTATTGGATTAAAAGACACATCTCAGGAATCGCGGGTTTCAAGAACGACTTCTACGCCGTCATGTAACCTTGCACACGGCTGAAAACAGCGGGGGGGTTGGGGGGGGCGCAGCCCCGCCCATTCGCAATCACGATGCTCGCATGGCTGGTTTACAACAAAATCATATGGGCGGCGGGGCGGGGGGGGGCGGGGTTTAAGGGGGGCAGCCAGTCAGGATGCTCGCATGGTTGGTTTTAAATAAAACGCATATATATGCTGTCAAGCAAGCTTGGCACTCTCGCATGTGCGGGACAGGCTTCCCATTTGCAAACAATTTTTTCGCAGGGTCAATGGCGTTGTTTCCAAAACGCACATATCATATTATGCAGGGTGGGTTCCCCGAAACGACCTCTATGCTGTCACGCAAGATCACGCAAGCTTGCAGACGGCTTAAAACAGCGGGGGGGTTGGGGGTACGCCCTCCCTACTACTAGTACTACTAGTACTACTAGTACTACTACTACTACTACTACTACTACTACTACTACTACTACTACTACTACTACTACTACTACTACTACTACTACTACTACTACTACTACTACTACTACTACTACTACTACTACTACTACTACTACTACTACTACTACTACTACTACTACTACTACTACTACTACTACTACTACTATACTACTACTACTACTACTACTACTACTACTACTACTACTACTACTACTACTACTACTACTACTACTACTACTTGATAGAAACCTTAAATGAGCAACTTAAACGCCCAGATATTGTGTCGTTCCCGATACTGTTGTTTGCGAGGGCGGTCGTCCCCGGGGGCGCGTTTTTGGGCTGCCGTTGCGGGGGCGCGTTTTTTTTTTTGCTGTCGTTGCGGGGGCGCGTTTTTTTTTTTGCTGTCGTTGCGCGGGCGCGTTTTTCTTTTTTGCTGTTGGTGCGGGGGCGCGTTTTTTTTTTGCTGTCGTTGCTGCGGGCGCGTTTTTTGTTTTGCTGTCGTTGCGGGGCGCGTTTTTTTTTTGCTGTCGGTGCGGGGGCGCGTTTTTTTTTTGCTGTCGGTGCGGGCACCGGGGTTCACTCACTCACCGGCTTCCTGGGTCCGCGCAACGAGAACAAAAAAAACATAAAGGCAACGACAGCAAAAAAAAAAAAAACACTGGTTCCTCCCCCTTTGGGTACCTTAAATATTAGATGCCGTATTAAGGCCAGAAAGGGGCCTAGATTTTGACAACTACCCACATGTAGGGATCACACTTCCTCCTGCATTTTTGCAGCATACCCTAAACCCTCAGCACGAGATCCAAGACCTGATAAATTAACTGATAAAGCCCCCTCCAAAGCCGGGAACCCCAAATGCCGGAAACTTCACCCCCCAGTGTGGTCCGGGAAAGCTCCGCAAAGCCTCGAACTCCCAAGATAGCGCCGCATAGATCCGCAGCCCCCCACTGTACTATGAAAATTTAGGCTTAGAGAGGCTTCTTCCTGTCTTAGGGGAAGGAAAAAGTGATGAAACTCACCAAATGTTTAATATCCGAAACCACGCATGAATCTTGAAGCCTTCCTGCCCTAGTCCAGCCCAAGGCACTGAGAGGCTCCGGGAAGCTAAGCTCCCCAAGGCCCTCCTCGGTACCGAAAGTACGGGATTGCTAGGGCTTGGGGGGTTTTGGGTTGGCTTTGGGAAGTTAGGGCTTAGATTGCTAGGCTTTGGGCTTTAGGTGTCGGTTTGGGGAAGTTAAGGCTTCGGTTTGAGGGCTTGGGGTTCTGGGTTTCGGTTTGGGGAAATTAAGGCTTAGAAGGTTTCAGGGCTTATGGTTTAATTTAGGCTTTGGGAAAATGAGGCTTAGGTTTTCGGGTTTAGGGTTTATCCAAAAATCGGGGTGCTGACTTTGTGAGCTTCGGGTTTTCGGGTTTTGAGCTTGGGGATAATGGGCTGCTGCCTGCCGGGCCTGTTCTTGCGTCCCCTGGTTTTTGAGACTCCTCCGAAAGCCTCACCCCAAACCTAAACCTTAAACCCTAACACCAAACCCTAAACCCTACATAAACCCTAAGCCCTATACCCTAAACCGTGTCACAAACAGAGCAACCCAGACATCCCCATGAACCCTACAACCAAATCCGATCACTGCAAGAAACACTATAAACATCTTCTCAACGCAGATGAACAAAAATCCTTTCAACACAACTAATCCTTTCAAAACAACCCTGGTAAGACACATCCGGTTTAAAAGTAAACAGCGCGCCTTCGCGCGGCTTTGAAGAAGCTGCGCCCGGAGTGGCGGCGGCTTCTCAGCGGCCTCGCGCTCAGCCTGGCGAAAGGATTTCTGAGGGGCCCTTTCTGCTTTCTGTCTTTGGGTTTTTAAGAGTCTTTAAACGGTTTTTGCTTCATGTCTTTTTAAGGCTTTAAGGGGCTTAGGAATCTTCGATTTGGGCGCCGAGGAGTCTTTCCTGCAGCTTAGAGGTGTTGCGGGGTTGGGGGCTCACTGGATGTGCCGTGGCGTTGTTTCAAGTTGCTTCGTAAGTTTGGGCGTAAGGTCTCAAGGGTCTTGGGGTGTTGGGATCTTGGGGTGTTGGGGATTAGGGGTTTGGTGGGGTCCTGCTGGATACTTTCCCCGAAATCAGGGATGTTGCTTAGATCACCGTCCTATTTGACGTGAGGGTTGTTCCTGAAGCAAGGTGTATTGGAAGATCTCGGTAAGACTGTAAGATGTTCAAAGACTTTATCTGACGTAGGTTTCTATTCCCCAAATGAATCTGCGGCTCTTTCAATGTGAGTTACTATGCGTAAGCGAGCATGATGATCCGCAGTCTAGCACCTGTCTAGGGTTTACCCATAGGCCCCATAGTAGCTCCTTTTGGGGTTCATATTTATATTTATATAAGTTATAAGGTAATAAAAGGAACTACTACGGGGCCTATGGGTAGGCGGCTAAGAAGAGGAAGTCCTGAACCCCGGAATACATGAAACCGGCGCCGCTTTTTTCAATGGCAACGGCTCTTGGTGAAACCCGAGCCTAAGCTCTCACCACTAAACCCTGAACCAAAACCCTGACAAGTTTGAGTTCCACGAGCTATCACTCAGGGCACAGAGTTCGGATAATGAACGGGTCAGGATAGTTGGTAATGGTATTCCTGTGTCACTGCAGTGCAACATAACCCATAACTCTCTTCTGAATATTAAGACCCCTGTTTTGGTATGTTGAGCGTGCCTTCGTTTCCTCTGCAAGCGTCTCGACATCCGCAGCATTCTCTGCGAAGATAACGCCACCGTGTCCCACCTCATGCTTAGTTTTGAGTTTCAAAGGGCTTTGTTTAACGTTCCAGGCTTCAGGATTTAGGGTTTAAGTTTTAGGGCTTAGAGTTTAGGGCTTTGGTAAAAAGGTCTAGGACCAATGCCAGAAGAGAGCGGTAAAGTTTAACCAGTAGATTGCAGTAAATCTCCTAAAGTCCCTAAAAACTTATCCATATGCCGACCGAACAGCGTCCCGCAAGTGCCGGTAGCAGCGGCAACCACAGACAACTACTGACAAAGCATTCAGCCCCCTGGGCCCCGACCCCAAAATACCTGAAACCCAAGACCTCAAACTAAACCCCAAACCCTAAACCCCTTATAGAACCCTTATGGGAACCCTTAAAGGAACTCTTAAAGGAAACCTGAAAAGCCCCCAAGTCCGAAGCCGTAAATCTTCTGCACAATTCCCCGGCCGCCGACCCCTGAATCCAGTTGGCCCCAAACCTGAACCATCAAGCCCATGCACCTGTGCCGTCACGGAGTCGAACGACGCCTTGTCTGCGGCCTTTAAGAAAGATCTTCGTTTCGGCGTGTTGAACCGGGGTCTCTTCCTTCGTTATCCACTCTACCTGTGATCGCTTGTAGACAGCCTTATTACGGGCAGCGCGGGCCTTATTTACCGAGCTTTTCAATACGACCGACTTCGGGATCAAGCACATGGGAGGCCTGTGGTAAGCTAGGCTCCATGTTGCAACAGGGATCCCACTATTCTGAGTCTGTACCCCAGAGTATACGTAGTAGTATCCCCTTCTACAAACCAATTTGTCTCGATATATGCCATAGTCCCATATTGGTATACCATAACAAAAGCCTACTTAGATTCTAGTTACTACGGCCCCCATACTTTGGGGGCCTCCCGAAGTACCAGAAGCTGCAGTATCCAAAAGACGTTTATCTAGCCAAAAACCCTACATCGTGAACCAAAAACCCAAAATAGCAAGAATCGGAAGAAGAAGCAATGATAATAGCCTCATAGAACCCTTACAAAACCCGATGAACCCCTAAACCCTATAAACTCCTGAACCCGATAAACACTAACCCCTAAACCCTGAAACCCTAACCCTAAACCCCTTAACCCTTGAACTTTTAGCCCCTGAACCCTAAACTTAAACGCCCCGACCCTCAAGCGTTCTATAGCCAGAGACAGCAATACCCCTTATTTAAGGAATACCTAGGGCCAGGGTTCCTTTGAGGGATCTAACTATAGGGTTTGGGGTTTAGGGGCCTCAACACCCCTAAACTAAGGAATATACCTTAAATCACTAGGGGCTTCATATTCTGATTTAAGCTATATTCCTTCACTAAGGGAAATGGGGCTCTCTGGGAACTTGTTTGCTTATGATTATACCTTAAATACTGGGTCGATAGCCGGCCTCCAGCTCCTTCAAACAGAGCTCCGCAGCCTTCGCCTGCGAGGGATGGCCCGATTGCCTTGGCTCTGCATTTTTAAGGGTCTTTCAAGCAGGGTTCTACTATAGGGGCCTAAATAACTACCATTACTATTTTGGGGGTTCCTTACTACAATTATAGTATAATGGGCTCCAAAACCCTATTCTAATTGCAGGGGTTCTCTAAGGGTTCTGAAAGGGTTCTAGACTAAACGCTCTCTAAGATTTCTCTAAAGGGATCTATAAGGGTTCTAGAAGGGTTCTAGAAGGGTTAGGGTTTGGGCTTAGTGGTTCGGGGTGAGGGGTTCGTGGGCTCCGGGGGGTTTAGGGGGTTTAGGGTTAAGTCTTCGGGTTCTTTGCTGCGGGTCTATAAGCTACTATTTGCTTAAGAAACACACAAAAAATAAAAATAATAATCCCTATATTACCCCCATAAGGAATATTTTTTTATTTTTTTGGTGGTTCTTAAGCAAATAGTAGTAAGGGTTTCGGGCCCTTGGATGTGGGTGTTAAGAGCTTTGGGTCTTAGGATTTGCCCAATCGCTGTGAGCTCTCGTTGTTGGACTCAAGGTTTGGGTGTGGGGTCCAGGGAGAATTACAGACTGCTTTCCCCTTAGCAGGGGCTGTTTGGGAGATCAGAGTTGTGGCTTCAAAGCTTGGATGTAGCATTGGGTATTGGGTTGGATTTTGGTATTGCGGTGTAGGGTTCGGGGGGGGTAGTACACACCCTAATTAAACGAAACTCACCCAAACCCGCAAAAATTCTCAGACTCAGACCTTCACAGAACCCTGCGAAATCATTGAAAAAACACCTATAAGCCCTTAAAGACCCCCTTAAAGCTGCCGAGGTTCAGCGCCTTGAGCACGGAGAGAAGTAGCGGCAGGATCTCTGCCTGGACTCGTTCAAATGGATGATCCATCAAGGCTCTTAGAAGGGCCTTAGGGTTGAGGGCTTGGGGCCCTGGGGTCTGGACTCGATAAGCGGATGATCGATAAAGGCTCTTAGAAGGATTTGTTAAAGGGATGGTTGAGGGATCTTTCAGGGCTCTATAACGGGGCTCTTTCGGATCTTTAAAGCTATGATCTGAACCTGATAAGGCAGGGATGTTTAAAGGGTGCTTTCAAGGGATCTTTAAGGGATCCCTGCTGGATCTTTCGGGTCTTTCTAAAGGCAGGTGACTATCCTTACGGGATCTCTATTGGGTCTTTATTATTCAAAAGTTCTTCCACGGGATCTGCAAGGACTCTTTGAAGTGCTCCGATAAGGGAGTGTTACTTACGGGATCTATAAGGCTTCTTCAAAAACCATTGTTTGGAGGGTCCCTGAAGGTTGGATCTCTACAACGGGGATACTCGGCTAAACCCTAAACCCTATATAAACCCTATATAAACCCTATATAAACCCTAAACCCTAAACCCTAAACCCTAAACCCTAAACCCAATCATTCCAACCTTAGCGTTTTAGAGCTCGCGTGAAGAGCTTGGCTCGGGTGCAGAACAACCCAGAGAGCCTGCCGCTACTCCCTCATGAAACCTACTATTTGCTTAAGAACCACCAACAATTAAAAAATATATTCCTTATGGGGGTAATATAGGGACTATTATTTTTATTTTTTGGGGGTCTCTTAAGCAAATAGTAGAAACCTACAGAACACTTAGAGGACCCTAGTTCATTATCAAAAACCTAAAACAAAAGGAGTATCCCAACCCCAAAACAAAACCCCATTACAGAAATAGAACAAGACAAAAAAGCCTTGCTCATACCGCCCCTCACCCCCGGAGTTGTGTAAACGACGTCTTCAACCCTAAACTCGAAGCCCTACATGGGGAAAATGCAGAATCCTTCATAGCAAGACTCCCAGAAAAGGCCCCATCGCCTTCTTATACCACCCCCTGTAATCCTCAAACAACCCATTAAACTAAACCCCCTACAAAGCCGTAAAACAAGGGAACAAAGCGTCAAAGCAGTAGGCAAACCACCTTGGCTTTCGGTCCGCTTTGGAGCTTCTCCTTCCAGAGCAGCGTGGCCACGCGTCGGACGTCGTGGTGGTCCTGAGGGCCCAAGCTTTGAGTATTTCGGGCTAGGGGGTCTACAGGGCAATAGGGGTTCTATCAAGCTTCTGTAGGATGTCCTCCGGGACTATGGAGAGCTGCTGTGGGGTTCTATGGGGTCTTTATGGCTCTTGGGGTGAAAGGCTTCGGGGTTCTACAGAGTCTTTATAGGGTCGTCATCTCGTTAAGGGTTTCAGGTTTCTGCAAGGATCGATTCGGCTTGCATGGGGAGTTAGGGCTTGTGGCTTAGGGTGTTTAGGGTCTTGTTTCTGAGCGCCTTTTTCCCCTAGCAGTTAAGGTCGGCCGAATCCACTTTTGTGGAAAGGCTACCAAGAAAACCCTGCTTCAGGGTCTAGGGTTCAGGGTCTTTTGCTTAGGGCCGGATTTAGGGTTCAGAGTTGTTCTATACTGGGGCCCCCTGTAAGGAGCCAGTTGTGCACAGGAGCTTCGAATCTTTCGGGGGATCTTGGCAGGATTCTAGGGCCACGGGCTCCTGGGTTGTCTTGTTTGCGGGATGGTTGAGTTCGGAAGCCTCGAGCATTGAAGTTCGTTGTCCCTTAAAAGAACCCTCCTGAAGGGACCCTCCCTAAACCCTCACAACCCTAGCCGTACAGGACTCCCCCCCCTAAACCCCTCAACCCTAGCCTTAGAGGGACCCCCTCAAACCCTATGGAACCGAGGGCTGAGATGAAGAAACCTACAGGTTCACCCTAGCGGAACCAGCGCTTGAAGCCAACCCGTGAAAAAGAACATCTACCACCTAGCCGCTTTAACTCCTGGGAACCCGAAACCCTAACCCTAAACCCTAAACCCTCAACCCTCAACCGAAACCCTACCTTCTTGGGCCAAGAAGCATCCGTTCGCGCAATAAAGATGGAGCTCAGCAGGGAGTGCCGGTGGAACTGCGAGAGGCAGTCCATCGTCAGGAAGTCCTGTTCTTCGATCCTACTTGGAGGTTCATGGGTAGTTACAATTATAGGTGCAGTTACTCTACTTCTGCTTATAACTGCCCATGAACCTCCCGGTAGTTTCTCTGCCCTGCTTGCCGGCTCCATCGTTCAGGGCTGCCGGGCCCTCCGAAATCCGAAAGTGCAGCCTTTTCTGAAGCCCCAAACCCTAGCGCCACTGTTCTCAAGGTATCATCCTAAGGACTGAACAAAGTAAGCTTTGGGGTTTAGGGGTTTAGGGTTTAGGGTTTGGGGCCCTTGATAATTATAGACTACATAGGGTTTGAGGGTATATTATACCATAGTTATAGTCGGGAAGCCCCAAAATGGTAAAGGCAGTTATTTAGGCCCCGATGGTACCAGCAGTACTCCTTAGTCCATAGGCTTCCTTAATACCATCATGCTACAATCCAGCCCAAAACCCTGAAACGAAAAAAATTGCGGGTCCCCTAAACATAGCCCTCATAGGAACCTTCATAGTTTGCCCTATAGAGCCCTTCGAAGGAAGCCTATTCTAATCATGGCGATTACTATACTGCGGTGCCCTCATAGTAGCGCTTATGGTAACCTTTGTTGCAACCCTTATAGAAGCCCTTAAAGGAACCCTGTTTAAGGTCCCCATACTCTGGTGCCGGGAGCAAGCAGAGGCGTCCTGCCCGAACTTCATGCCTTCGCTGATCTTCTCGCAGAAAGCGAAGAACCTGGGACTCGGAAAACGCCAGACCCTAAACCCTAAACCCTAAACCCTAATCCCTAAACCCTAAACCCTAAACCCTGAACCCTAAACCCTAAACCCTAAACCCGGAGCCCTCATCTCTGAAACACCAGAACCTAGGGATCCCGGGGCTCAGGAAACCATGGAAAGCGTGACCCCCGGGGTGCACTCGAAAATGGGATCCCGAGAGGTGAATTCGAAACTAGGAATCATCCTGCGTGCCTAATTTAGGGGCCTACACCATGTTCAACAGGCTCTTGGGCGGTCCCAGGTGGGACCAGACGGGGACACTACGACTAAATATCCCGACCTTACACGGGAGTTTCCGAAAACAAGGGATCCCCTAATAAAATACCCTAAATAGTGGGATCCTTCTATAAGGATGCCAAAATACGGTACCCTAATTTTCGGAAACTCTACTTAAAACCCTTATAGAGCCCTTTAAAGGAGCCCTTATAGTACCCCTTTTAAAGGTACCGCGAATTTTCGGAAACTCTTACAGTAACCTCTGGCTCAGGCACAGGTCCATGGCCCTCGTCCTGGACTCTTCGTCTTCGAAGAAGAGCGCCTCATCCAGCTCCGTGGTAGCGTTTAGGGGCTCAGGGCTCAGGATTTAGGGTTTAGGGCGTTTAGGTTTAGGGTTTAGGGTTCAGGGTTTAGGGTTTAGGGTTCAGGGTTTAGGGTTCAGGGTTTAGGGTTTAGGGTTCAGACTTTAGGGTTCAGGATTTGGGGTTCCTTTGTGTGGGTGTAGGATTTTGTGTTCAGGGCTTAGGGTCTAGGTTTCCTGAGCTCATAGATGTAGGGTTCAAGGCTTCGGGCTGGGTCTGGGGCCTTTCGGGCCTTTGGGCTGGGGTGAAGACCTCGGGCTTTGGCTTTGGGGTTTAGGGTTTAGGGTGTTTATCGAACTTTTCGGTGGTGCAGGAATCGAGAGCAGGGTGTGTATTGCTGGAATCTGCAAGCCATGTCACATCTTACCAGACCATTGAACACGTTCACTGGTTTTGGGTGTTGGGTCAGCCTTTACCTGTAGGGTCTAGGGATTGAGGGTGGTGAGGGTTTAAGACTTTTTGGGATGGCGCTGATTTTTGCCCACATTTCCGGTTTGCGGCTTGGGGCCCAGAGCTGTGGCTGAGCTACGAACTCACACGAAACCTCCGAAACCCTTAATTCTACATCCCGACCCTACAACCCCCGAAAACCGGAACCCTAAACCGTAGTACACTCTTAACCCTAAACCTTAAACCCTACATCCTAAACCCTAACCCTAAACCCTACATCCTAAACCCTAACCCTAAACACTACAAAACCCCCAAACCAAAAACGCGGAAACCTACCCCTTCCCGAGGCATCTTTGGTGAGGCCTCCTGCATGCGGGGTAGGAGAAGGTGCGGAGCAGTGGCTCCATACCTGGGCCACTTCCCGTTGTGGGCTGAGGGTTTAGGGTTTAGGGGGCTTCCCAGAGACTCCAATCTTAATTAAGGAAGATTCCTTAAATTATGGTAGGGTCCCTAATATGATTTAAGGCATATTGCGCCACTTCCGGTTTTGGGCCTAGGGTTTCCCAGACGCACAATCGCTTTGGCGTAGGAAACCCCAAACCCGAAACGGTAACCCCGTAGGAAACCTCAAACCCCAAACGGTAACCCCTTAAACCGGTCGAGGGGGCGATGAGGTTGGAGGGTTCGAGGTTCAGAAATCAAAAAAATCCACCAAAGCTTGGATCTTAAACTTACACCCTACATTTTGTGGTTCAAACTGTCGACTATGACCGAAGGTCTGTGACCTTATCCTACAGGACTTAGAGCCTCTTGGGGCGTGAGTGTCGCGATCGAGGGCCTTAGGCCTCCCATTGGGGGAGTCCAAGGGTGTAGGGTTTAGGCTTCAGAGCTTAGGATTTGGGAGTCTCCGAAAATTAGGGGTACCTTATTTGGGGACCTTATAATAAGGATCCTACCATTTAGGGTGCTATAGTAGGGTCCCCGATTTTCGGAAACCCCCATTTAGGGTTTAGGGGATGTTTTCGGGTTTCAAGAAATTGGGTTGCCTTGGCTTTGCGTCAAGCGAGGCCGAGATGCTCGTCGATGAGCACCCGCACAGCGGCTACTGCCTCAGGGCTGTAAAGCCGTAGGATTGTGGTGTTATAGGGTTTAGTTTTTGGGTTTGGGGTTTGGGTTTATAGGGTTATAGTGTCTAATGTAGCAATAGGGTTGTAGGGTCTAGGCATGTTTAGGGCACCCCCAGACCCGAAAACTCCCCAACACCCTGCAAAACCTGAGCCCCAGAAGCCCCAGAAACCCCGCTTTGGCGTCTAGGATTCGGATCGAACTCCACGACTTAAAGGGAGGGTCTGGGGTTTAGGGCTTGGGCCTCAGCATTCAGGGGTTTACGGTTTAATGTAAGAACCTGATAAAGGAACCCTGGGCCTGGAACCCCCAAAATACGGTTGATGATATAAATCCTGCATTACCTTAAGGACCCTAGACTATGGGGGATTATGGTATATCCTTATTGTGGGTAATGCAGGATTTATATCATCAACAGTAGTAGGATTCATATAATGAACCCTAATACGGGGCCAAGGTTTCTTAATCAGGCTCCTACATTAGGGGTTCAGGGGTTTGCTTTAGTTTCGAGCCCAAGTTGCTTTGGGTGCCGGTTTGTCTTGGCTTCCGCTGCGCAGAACACGCGACATTACTGTAGGGGCCTAGATAATTACCCATATTGTTGTTGGGGTTTCTTATTATCTATATCTATAGTATTAAGGGCCAAAAACCTATTCTAGTTATTAAGGCCCCTACATTGCACGAAAGCCGAAAAGACACTGGCGCAAAACCTTGGAGAAATCTGACCCGTCTGACACTGCCAACAAGCTCGACACCGTCTAGCATCTAAGCATCTAATTAGTACGTACACTTGTAATTTGTAATATGGGCCTTCCTAAACAGCCTTAGAATAGGGTTTCGGGGCCCGTTATACTGTAGTTATAAGAAGGAACCCCGAAAATGATATTGGTAATTATTTAGGCCCCTATAGTACGCTCACTCCTGCAATAAACCCTTAACCCTAAACCCTAAGCCCTCGCGACCAACCGAGGCGAACCCGAAGATGACTCTGCAACACCAGCGGCCTGCTTGTGCACAACTTCCGACTCCTCCTGCAGCGCATTCCTTGGCGCAGTCCGCGCTTGAGATTGAGGGATTGGGCTGGGGAGTCTCGAGCATACCAGTATAGAAAAGTACATCATCGCCGTATTGTACGTACAGTACAATATCGCATATTTTTATTGTACATTCTAGTATACTATTACAGTACATCATAGTATGTTAGTATTGTATATAACTTCCACTCAAGCATGGGATATGATGTTGTCGAGGGCGGATGGCCCTAGCGCTCTGCAAACTCGAACCGGCTCCCCAGTTGATGCGCGACAAGCGCCAGTATTGTGGGGTCAGTAATATAGGGTTTAGGGTTTAGGGTTTAGGGTTTAGGGTTTAGGGAATAATTAGAATAGGACTTTGGGGGGCCATTATACTGGAGTTATAATAAGGAACCCCCACAACAGTGTTGGCAATTATGTGGGCCCCTATAGTACTCATAGTAAGTTGCGAGTAGCTCGAGGTTCACAATGAGTCTTCTGGCGATCATGCCTAACAGCCTGCCAAATCTGAGCCTGCTGGATACAGTGAAAGTCATGACGATGACGAGGATGGAAATGGCGATTATGGCTCTCATGGCCATGAAGCTGGCGAACATCACGTCTCATCATCAGCATCATCATTGTCGTCGTTATCATCATCATCACCGTCTTCGTCATCCTCATCAAGGTCATCATCATCGTCGCCGTCATCATCATCATCATAATCATCATCATGGCTGGGATGGTGACTGTGGTTCAAACCACCACAACAACGACGACGACGACAAAGACCGTTCCGGCCTAAAACCTATCGAGCAGAGACCGAGCTCTTGGCCAGACTCTGAAGTTCTAAACTCCTGCGGCCCCCAAGCACATTTGGAACTGGACATCTGAATACTGTGAGCCGCCGCAGCAGGAACTCAAACCCTCAACTGATCACGTCAAGGTGTTGGAGCTTGGGGTGCACGGTTTGGAACTTACACATATATATATACATATATGTATAGAGGGGCGGCTAATCGCTACAATGAGGGCTAAAGCTTAGTGGCTTAATTAGTCTTTGTACCGAGCTGCAGCGCAAAGGGCAAGCTCCGCTTCAGGTGGGGCAAAAATGCCTCACAACGAGAGTCACAAGGGCTTGCGCTTGAGGTCGCAGGATTGAGGAAGCTTAGGGTGGGGTTGTCCGCTCAACATCAGACCCGTCACTATTCGAACAGTGTTTTGGGGTCGGACATAGTACTATAAGTACGATCAGGAGCCCAAAGCCTCATAGACAGACCTCTTAACCCACGAGCGCTCCCCATTACCAGTACAAGTCAGCTCCGCCTGCGCACCGAGGCTGGCGACGGCCTCTCAGGGTCTGGAGGTTCAGGGCTGCTTTGTACTGTCCTGATAGCCACGAATAGCAGCAGTATCATCACCGTATCACCAACACAGAAGTCGGGATCGTCGTCATCAGCAGCATTATCATCGCCACTCCCATTACTCGTTGTCATCCCTCTGCTCTTCATCCTGCTCATCCTCGTCAGCATCCTCATCCGCATCATCGTCACCATCATCATCGTCATCATCTCCATCACCGTCATCAGCATCACCATCACCATCATCATCATGATCGCGACAGTGACCATCACCCTCCTCTTCTTCTTCATCATCTTCTTCGTGTTCCGGTATCAGTCTCATCATCGTTGTTGTCGTGGCTGCTATTGGTAGCGTCAGTACTTTTACCGGTATTACGCTTACACTATACTCGTGTTTTTGCTACCGCTATTACTGTTGCTACTGGTACTGTTTAGTCTTGTTCTAAGTGCTATGATTGAGTTTAACATCCGAAAAAGCAGCATTCCTGCTGCCAGCATTTCTGTGAACATGAACTTGCTGGCTGCTATTAACCGCAGCACTTAGATGCTCTTATCATAAATATGGCTGTCATGATTCCTCTACGGGGCATTCCGGCTCTGCGGGCTGCGGATCTCAAGCCTGTCTTTAAGGTTTGCTTGGGGATCAGAGAGCTCAAGCTAGCTTCAGGCTCCGAAGTTGGCGGCTGAGGCTGTAGGCTTACTGTCGGCGTGGAATTTCACCCTAAACCCTAAACTCTTGGATTTAGAGAGGTTTTCCAGTTTGGGCTTAGGGTTTGGACCCTTTAAGGGCCGAGGGTTCAAAGCTCGTGGGGTTCATGCTTTGGTTCTGGTCGAGGGCGAAGCTACAGATCCATGTAGCTCATGGCATAGTGTAAGGCGAAACCCAAGACTGAAATCCTAAACTTCAAACCTACCCTCCGGGCTAAGAAACTTAGAGGTTGGGGTTCGTAAGGCTTACGACCTTGACACCTGAAACCCAACACCCGGATGGCACAAATCACCAACGCAAAAGATGCAGCAAGACTGAAGTCCTCCGTGAAGGACCTTAAATGGATGGGACTCCCGGCTTCCCGGTCCAATCATGTCCAATCACTACTGATGTAGGTGTAGGTGTATACATATGTATATATATGTTTCTTATAAATAGATATACAAAGAAAGATAGATTGGTAGACAAATCGATAAAGAGATAGGTAGATAGATAGATAGATAGGCAAGTAACTAGGTGGGTAGGTAGATAGATAGACAGACACATAGACAGATCGATAGACCCACAGATAGATTGATAGGTAGATGTACAGATATGTATGTATGCGTATATGCAGACATGGGAACCGCAATGCGTTATGTGCTGTATGTATGTATGTATGTGCTGTATGTATGTATGTATGTATGTATGTATGTATGCGTTATGTGCTGTATGTATGTATGTATGTATGTATATACATATACATATATACATATATACATATATATATATATATATATCCGTGTGTGTGTGTGTATGCATGTGTGCATGTATGCATGTATGCATGCATGTATGGATGGATGCATGCATGCAGGCGCATGTCTGTATGTTGTGTGTGTGTGTGTATCTATATGTATGCATGTGTGTATACATACATATATATAGAAATCTATGTGAATACACCTAAAAATACATAACAAAGAACAGTAATCAATAACAACGACCACCAACATTACCGTAATACTCAATAATCTTCCGAGTGCTGCTGCGGCGGCGATGACAACAACGACAATATTACAAGTCATGTTACAACACATCAGAACAAACGCACCAACACAATACACCGAGAAATCCTAAATTTCTATCCCTTGACCCCAAACTGAGAAATCCTAAATTCTAAGCCTCAACCCGAAAAAGAAAACCGGCCGCCGTGGCCTGGATCAACTGCAGACCACCAGCCTTCGCCTCCTTGGTCGGGCCTCCCATGAAGTGGGAGTTTCCGAAAATAGGGGTACCTTATTTTGGGGTCCTTATAAAAGGATCCTACTATTTATGGTACTAGATCAAGGTCCAAAAATATCCCAAATCGCAGTCGGAGGGTCCAAGCCTAAACCCAGACCCTACTTGGAGGTTCATGGGTAGTTCTAAGTAGGGTTATAAGGGGTTTAGGATTCCTTGAAAGGGATGTAGAGGGTTTAGGGTTTAGGGATTAGGGTTTAGGGTAGTTATATGTAGGGTTATAAGTAGGGTAACTATACTTATAACCCATATTAGGGGACTTATAACACCACTTATAACTCCCCATGAACCTCCAAGTAAGGTGCTTGTGATACAGAGGCCTCGATGATTAACATAACAGTGTTCGTGACTTCTTGTCTTGTAGAAGAATATGAATGTCAGGGACAATTTTTCTGATTGCTCCGAACCCTGTACTGGATTGTTGTTCGGAGTTCCACCGATAAATCTTTGCTTTGAGTTCTGCGAGGCTTTAGAGTTGGGCCGTTTCAAGAATGCTAAACCCTACACCGTAAAACCCAAGCCCTAAACTTGAGCTCGTTTAGGGCTTCTTGCAGTTTGAGGCGATAACCTTCCGAAAATGGCGCCGTACAACGTACGATGCAAGGTTTGGGAAAGTCAAGGAAGCGATTTGCAAGAAGCAGTAGGCAAAGAGTGTGCACAAGCCAAGAAACAGCGCCCAAGCCCAAGCTCCAAAACCCTCAACCCCTACCCCACAAAAAGCCCAAACCCCTAAACTTCCGGAACCCTTCCTGTGAAACACCCCCACCCCCATACCTTGAAGCCCCCCCAAACAAGCTGCCCTGCCCCCGCTAGACCCTAAACCCTAAACCCTAAGCCCCAGACCCTAGACCCTAAACCCTCAGCCCAAAAACCTAAACCCTCAACCCTCAGCCCAAAAACCCTAAACCCTAAACCCTCCTTTCCTGATGGAATCCGGGGCAGCACGTCTTCGTGGAGACACCCTCAGGCGAGGCATGAACGGGGGCTCCGTGGGGCTCCGGAGTTGCAGAGGACTCAAACCCTCAACCCTTCTAGGGTTTAGGGTTTAGGGTTAAAAGTAGTAGATGATGTGTTCTAGAATATATTACAGTATACTATTCTACATTATATATCCGATCATGTATTCTTTAAAATATACACCCCAACCGTAAACCCTAAATTCCTTAAACCATATGCTTGAGAGACAGGTGCGGAAAGAGCCGAACACTTGAAAAACCGTCGATTGAAAAGCTCCGCGGCTAGAAGCCGAGGCGTTGGAGGGCTGTTATCGAATAAGGTACGCATTCGTTCAGCGATGTTTTCACTGAAAACAAGACCTCTACACAAGCGCCTAGATGTCCACAGTGACAAATAATGGTAGCCTAATTGAGAACACCCCGATACTAATCGTTTGAGATATCCTCAATCAACACTCTGTTCCATTTATTGACGCCCCCATCCCAAACCCAAACCCTAATCATTCCAAAACGGGCCCAGCGAAGAGTTGAACTCGGGCTGAAGGGGTTGGGCTTCTAATTTAGAAGACGTGGTTTACTTGGAGGGGCAGGGGACTTAGTAAGTAGGTAATAAGTAGGGGTATAACTGGGGTAACTCCATTCAGGGTACTTATAACCTACTTACTAAGTCCCCTGCCCTCCAAGTAGGGTTAAGAATTTGGGCTTTCGGGTTTGGGGCTTGGTGTTAGGAGTAAAGGGCTTACCCAAGTAGATCGGCCTCTGGGGACTATGGCTGACACTATGTGGGTAGTTGACAAAATTAGGGCCCCTTTTTGGGTACCCTAAATATTCGGTGCCGTATCATATTAAGGAGCCAAGAAGGCTTAAGAAGGGCCCTAATTTTGACAACCACCCATGTGCTTGTTTATGGGTTCCTTCGACAGGTCATGTAGGGGCTGAAGAACTAGAACAAGGTCTTCGGGAGACATTCATCTCCGGGATACAAATCATCACAAGAAAACCACACTCGTGTTGTCTCTGCACCATGGTAAACTTTGCAAAACCAGCAAATCCCAAAATCTCAAAAACAAGAGGACTGCGGTCGAGGGCTACAAAACCCAGTCGGAAGCCGCTCTGACCTACTTCTTTGATTTCCAAAAACCCCAAACCCCTAAACCCCTAAACCCCCAAACCCCTAAACCCCTAAACTCGAAACCCTAAACCCCTAAACTCGAAACCCTAAACCCCTAAACCCCAAAAACCAGGAAAAAAAAAACACAATGCACCAAAACAAGCTGAAAAGGTCAGCCCAGACACCTGACAGGAGGTCCCTCCTGGCCAGCAAAACCTTCGGCACATGGTGAGGCTTTACTGGATCGGGGCTTCAAGGCTCCCTAAACCCTAAACCCGCTTAGATTTCGGGGCTTCGGGTTTAGGCCTTGGGGTTTCATTCTGAAGATGTCGAGGTTCAGAGCTAAACTACACCCTCAAACCCAAAAGGCGACTCTAAAACCCGAAGCCACTGAACCGTACACTCGAAGCAAAACACGAACCCATACATCCTAGGCCCCAAAACCGGAGGATCCCTCACGTCTTGTATCTTATTGAGACCTCTCGGCCCCGGAAATACACATGTACATGCAGAAACTGTAGAGATGTAACAATGTATGTGTGTATGTATACATCAAAGACAGCGAGAGAAAGAGCGAGAGAGAGAGAGAGAGAGAGTGAGGGAGCGTTTGTGTAACTGTCGACAAAGTTTTAGGCTATACTAAACCAGACGTATATAGTCACTGTCAACGCATACGACTAATGATTCACCTTACCATAGAACGCTATGAATTCCCTGTGCAACCGTATAAAGCCCTGTGAAACAGGTATGAAGCCCTGTCCAACACGTCGCCCGCAGCCCACCTCGCCAAGGCCACCCTAAACCCTAAACTCTGAAGCCCTGAGACTCTAAAACCCTCCACCCTAAACCCGAAACTCTGAAACGCTAAAACCCTCAACGCTAAACACGGAACTCTGAAACCCTAAAACTCTAAAACCCTCAACCCTAAACTCTGAAACCCTCAATCCGCAACCCTAAACCCGAAACTCTGAAACCCTCAACCCTAAGCACTGAAACCCCAAAACCCTCAACCCTCAGCGCCGTAGCCCGCCTCCGCAAGGCCCCTAGCGGCGCCTCTCCTCTCTACCTCAGACACATCGTCGTTGGTCTCCTGAGGTCCGAGCACGGTTTAGGGTTTAGGGTTTAGGGTTTAGGGTTTAGGGATCCCAAGAGACTCCAATACTCCTTAACTAAGGAATATACCTTAAACCATCGTAGGAATCCTACTATAATTGAAGGTATATTCCTTAATTAAGGGATATTGGAGTTTCTGGGTCTTCTTGTGCAAAAATTCTACAAGGGTTCTGCAAGCTGTCTAGTCAGTTCTTTAAGGGTTACGGGATTCCAAGAGGGTTCTGCGACTTTTGAATCAGGTCTCTTTAAGGGCCATTTTTGTGTCGAAGGGCTTAGATTCCTGCGTATTTCTGCAGTTAAGGAGCCCTACTTGGAGGTTCATGGGTACGTACACGCGGGGTTATAAGTACCCTAATATGGCTTATAAGTATAGTTACCTTGGACCGGGGTTGGAGCCTCTGGCTGAGCGGGCTCGCGGTCAAGAGCTTTAGGGTTTAGGGTTTAGGGTTTAAGGTTTAGGGTTTAGGCCTTTTTTCTCGTCGTGGCTCGAGTCCCTTTAGGGTTTGGGGTTTAGGGTTTAGGCTTTAGGGGTCTAGGATTTAGGGTTTAGGGTTTAGGCTTTAGGGTTTAAGCTTTAGGGTTTAAAGGTTTAGGGTTTAGGGTTTTAAGGTTTAGGGTTTAGGCTTTAGGGTTTAGGCTTTAGGGTTTAGGATGCAGGCTCGTGGTCAAGGGCTTTGAAGATTTAATGTAACTATCAAATTTCTGGGCTTGTAAGTAACCAGGGAGAAAAAGTATAAACTTCCATTTCATAATGGTTCCTGTAAGAAAAAGGGTTAAAGTATGGTACTCCAAAGCCCAGAAAATAGTTGTAAGCAAGACCATCGCGAGTTCAGAAAGTCATAAGAAGACTTGTAGCAGTGGGACAAGCAAAGGATGCCCTGTTTCAGTGTTAATCGACATTCCTGGAAACCATGACTAGCCACATAGAACTCCAGAAGGCATGATCACGAAAGAATGACCAGAGCAGAATCGTCCACTACACCTGTGGCCTAAGCCCTAAACTATTCCGACTTCTTGTGCCAGTGGAGCCCAGCACAAGCCCTGAAATCAGGGCATGCTTACTATCTTCTGAAAAACTGTAAAACCCTCATGAAAACCTGACAAAACCCTTATGAAGCCTTCCAATAAAAAACACTATGAACGCATTATACAAACACATTGTAGAACCCCAGTTCAGGAAGTCCTTCTTATAGAAACCCTGGCTTTCGAACAAACCAAGAACACTCCAATGTAAGTCCAGTAGCTGTGGACGCCAAGGTCTTGAGCAGGAAAGGAACCATGTCCCGATCCTTGGGTTCTGAGTGGCTGAGGGCGTATGAGGGTCTAAGGCTTAGGGGCTTCGATCCCTGGGGTTTTCGGGTTTGGGGTCTTGGATCAATCTAGGGTGATCAATCGAAGGTGGATCGGTTTAGAAAGGTCGTTTGTATTGCTGCTTTGTTGCTTGAGAACAACCTCCCCGAAACCTACGCACGATCGCGCCCCAAAATCCGCGCACTCGACACCCGAACATGCTACATTCAAAAGCCCTAGAAAAAGTTGGAACGTGCTGGGATTCCCTCTTTCCCGTAGGGGAGCATGAGGGTCATGATGTTCCAAATTTCTCGCTTCTACATGGAACCTTATACTGCAGTAGTGATAAGAATAATCATGATCACAATCATAATCGAAATGTTAGCAATAATCGAGTTAATTCGTATAATGATGACAACATTACTAACAATAATACCAAGGAATAACCCTCAACCCTAAACCAGTAATAATAATGATCATGATTGCTTTTCTTGTAACCATATTAATAATTATCGTAGTAACTGTTACATTACTAATTTTGTCATTAGGTGAACCCTGGGCAAGGCTCGCAGATCTCTGGAAGTCCGAAGGCCAACGATCCGAAGGACTTCGCTGCCTCGTGCTGCACGCCGATCGTCGGATGCAGCAAACACTCCTCGGGGGGGATGTCCCAGAGCGCCCAATACCCCTTAATTAAGGAATGTACCTTAAATTATTCGGGGCTTCTTATTATGATGTAAGCTATATTTCTTAATTAAGGGATATTGAGCTCTCTCGTTAAAAGTTCGGGGGTTTGGTGGCTTTAGGGGTGTAGATAGGTTTAAGGTTTGGAGGCTTAGGCTTCAGGCGTATGGGATTTGGGGTTGAGGGGCTTAGGGGTTTAGGGGATTAGGTTTAAAAGTTTGGGGAAAATCTGTGGGGTTCATGCCCCACTTTGGGCAATCCCAAAATCCTCATCATTGGATCTCCCCACCAACAGCTCAGCACTCTCGAAACCCCTCTTAGCTCTGTCTCTTTCGCTGCCCGTCACTGGAAGTCCGAACACCTGGGATTGTAAGTTCAAGGCCTACGGTTCAGAACGGAAGGTTCAGGGTTCTAAACCCTCGTTCCGAAACATCACTGACTTGGGCCTAGGACAGCAGAAACCCACAGCGCACGCACCGACCGGCGGGCTCCTGCAGGAGCGGCATGAGCTCTTGCAGGTACGGCTGCAACAAAACCTCGGGGCAATCAAGTTTCACCTTTGCACCAAGCTTGCGCGCAACCCTTGATGAAAATCCTCGCAGTTCAAAAGGATTGGAGCCTGGATCCTAATGTCAAGGTTCCTAAGAAAAGCACAAGAACCCTTGGAATGAAGCCTGCAAAAACCCTATAAGAACTCTACAAGAACTTTACAACACCCTCTCAAAACTCCGCAAAAAGAAACAACAAAGCCTTCATGTTTCGGCCGTAGCTTTGGACTACGTCTTCGGTCTTCGGTTTGTCTTGAAACGCTGCATTGACCTGCGAGAAGGGCGTGGGCGGGGGGAAAGGGCATTCTGTTTCGGGCTTAATTAGGAGTTTATGGTTTGTTGCTTAGGTTGGCGAGTTCGGGGCTGATTCTTTCGGGCTGCAGGCTCTAAACACTGAACCCTGAACCCCAAGCCCGACATCCTAAAATCTACACCCCCGAGCCTTGAGGATCATTTGGTTCTAAACTCTGCATCCCTGGCAATTGGTCTGCCAATTTTGCTAGATGTTCAGAACCTTCACTTGGCTTCATCATTGGATTCTTTTGCAACACCCCTGTGTGTGCCCACAGCAGCAAATGGTCGTCCAGCCCTCAATTAACGTCTTCTGCAACACATCTCTGTATTTGCTCACGGCAGCAATCGGTCTGGCAAAGCTTTTTTAAAATGATCACAAAGTTCAATGGACTTGTTCTGCACCAGACATGAGTGTATTCAGAAAAACACATGTGTATGCTCACAGCTGCAATTGGTCGGCCAACCCTCGACCCTTGGGTGCAACCCTCATGGATTTCTTCTGCCACACATACGTGTGTGCTCACAGCAGCAGCTGGTCTGCCAAAATTGTTGAATGTTCAGAACCTTCACTTGACTTCTTCGTTGGATTTTTCTGCAGCGCACACAAGTGTGTGTTCACAGCATCAATTGGTCGGCCAACCCTCGATTGACGTCTTCTGCAACACATGTGTGTATGTTCTCACAGCAACCATCGGCCTGCCAAAGTTAATGTGATCAAAACATGCACGCGCACACACACACACACATACAGAGACACAGAGACTTTGTCCTAGGAGTTTGGGGTGTGATGCGCATCAACATTTACGACAGGGTTTGTAGTGTAGAACCCGGTGAAGCCCTGGAACTGGGTCAGGGTTTCAAAACAGTTGCTGAGGCAGGTCGTGCTCTTCTGCATCCCTGTCGTGCCCAAGACTACTTTCCTGCCCGGAAAAATGTTGAAGCACGAAATGCTGATACTGCTCCTACTGTTTTGTAACACGATCGCACTACCGACAACCGCAGAAGCAGCCGCAGGACGAACCTCGTCATGGTCATACAATGTGGGACTTCCTGATCAAGGTCGGGATGTGAATAGACGGACACAAGTTTGCAATCGAGAAGCCACTAAGCCGTCGAACTTAACTACCATGAAGTCCCCGGAGCTGGCCCATAGGCAGGCGACATCGGACGTGCCGATGTCACCGCAGAACCCTGCACCCCAAAGGATGACGCGGCCGTCTCCATGCAAGGCTGCGAAGCCACTGTGGATGGCGACGATGCGGCAGACGTTCTGGAGCTCTTCCTTCACGTCGCTGGAGTCGCCGCCCTCATAGTCGTCGCTTCATATCAGTGCTAAGAGAGATGTCGACTCCAACACAGACCCGCGCACATGTTCGCCATCATCGAATCCATTCTGCAAGGGCCAAGTTGCAGCTTACTGCGGTCATGTGCTCTGCAAGAGCAAGTTGGAGTCCAGCGTTAATCACACTGCGGCTTCAAGCACATCGCCAACTCTCCCACGTTCCTTCTCTATCACCCCGGCGCTCTGTTCGTTGTTCAATTAGAATGTGGTTTTAGGGAGCACCATGAGAAGTACGTCGACGGTCACGATATAAGGTATACCAGATTAGGCATGCCGCCAAATAGACCTCGTGGATGGTCGAAGTGGCAGGCAAACGTTGCGACTACATCCTCTGACAACCCCAAAACTGATGCAACCCAAGTCAATCAAATCAGCTTCATCGGTGTAACCCAACCCTGACCTGGAATCCTATCAGCCCAGATCTGCAACCCTAAACCCTAAACCCCAATCTGAAACCCGGAACCATAAACTTTCGGGATCACGGTTTAGGGTTTAGGAGCCTCAAGCCTCCCTCTGGAACAGTAAACCCTACTAAAGCCCTAACCCTAAACCCTAACCCCCAAACCCTAAACCCCAAACCCCCCAAAAGCCTATATAAACCCTAAACCCTAAACCCTAAACCCCAAACCCCCTAACCCTAAAACCTAAACCCCAAAACCCTAAACCCCTTAACCCCACCCCTTAAACCCCCAAACCCTAAACCCCTCTGGTGAAAGCGGGGGAGCCGGGTCGGCAATCAGGTTCACGGAGGCACCGACGATCTGCACGCCCTTCATCTTCGCCTCATGTGCCTTCTCTTCTGACCAGAAAGCTCAAGAGCCTAAAGAGAGGCCCTAATCGTAGGTTTTGGGTTTTAATGGTTTCGGGTTTGGGGGGTTAGGGTTTTGGGTATATGGGTTAGGGCTTCGGGTTTAGGGTCTGGGGTTTAGGGGTGTAGGATTTAGGGTTTTTTGGGTTTTCGGGTTTTGGGGTTTAGGGTGTTTGTAGTGTGTGGGTTTGGAAGGTGGGGTTTAGAGTCTCCTGGTACCCGCAGCTTGCATCAACAAAGCTTCCTGTTCAGAAAGTTCCCTGCGTAATGTGCTCTGATGCTCTGAAGACATAAACTTGTCAGGCACCCTAAACCCTAAACTTGTCAGGGCTTACACGGCTAGATCAGGGCTTGGTACTTTAGGTACGTTATTGAGAGTGTTTGGGTGGCAAACCTCTCACTCCCAAACCCGGTTGCTTGCACTGAGACCTGAGGCCTCATGTAGGAACCTCATTACGAAACCTTGGGCCTTTATAAGGGTTCCTTATATGAATCCTACTGTATAGGGCCAGGGTTTCTTAATCAGGTTCCTACATTAAGCCAAACACTCCGACTGTGGCATTATACGGGTTAACTATACTTATAACCCATATTAGGGGACTTATAACCCCACTTCTAACTACCATATGGGTGGTTGTCAAAATTAGGGCCCCTTTTGGGTCCTTATTATAATACGGCACTCAATATTTAGGGTACCAAAAAGGGATCATAATGTTGACAACCGTCCATATGAACTCCAAGTACGGGCGAGGCTTTGAAGGCTCCGGTCCTGCTCGCGCATGGCCCGGGCGACGGTCGGGAAAAGAAGCGCGAAAGCGCAGGAGTCAACCTCTGCTGACAAACCGGTTGAGTCAGGGTTTTAACTCCATAGCGCAGGGACCCTATATCACTTGGGGACTGTACTTGAACTTCACGGGTGGTGGACTGTAAGTGTAGACCTGCAACGAAATACAAACCTTGAGGTGGGGACACTTTGAACCGATAACCCTCACCTATTGGTCTGGTCGTACTTCCAACCCGGACCAGCAACAGAGACATCATAGACTCGACATAGATCCACTCACACTGCTACAGTAGGGTTCGGACCTTGGCGCAGGCAAAAGAAACGGTGGTGCATCCACACCAGACGCTCAATACCACGATTCACAACGCAAACACCCCCACATGCCGTGGGAAGCTCGTAGGCAAGAAAACTTGAACACCCGAACTTCAACAACCCTAAGCCCCAACCCCAAAACCACAAAACCCGAGAACCCCATGAACGACCACGAAACCCAACAACGCACCCATAAAGTTTGCTAGTTGACCCACTCCATACCCTAAACCCTAAACCCATACAAAAAGATACAAAAAGTGCCTGCTGTCGGAGTCGCCGTGTTCAGGAAGGTCGTGTTTGCCATGCGGTGGAGGGTTTCTCCGGCCTTCTCCATGTTGGCGCTATCCTTGATAGGGGCCGTAGAATAGGGTTTTGGGGGCATTATACTATAGTTATGATCAGGAGCCCCCACAAGAGTATTGCCTATTATTTAGGGCCCTGTATTCACGGACATCTGTCGGTCAGAGAAGCGAGTCGAACGAGCCTGGTGGCACTTTGGCCAATCTCAGAACTTACCTACAATGGAATTAAGACTAGCAATGATAGCGTCAGCTTCACTAAGCCACAAGCTACAAGTGTCTGCAGGCAAAAGCTGGGGCTTTCTGCAAGGTCGCAAGATTTTGTTGCGCTGATGGATGAAGTTGCCCCTGTATTATTGGGAGGGTCGGCGCTGGGTTACGGGGGGTATTGGTGGCAGAGTCTAAGCCTGAAGCTCGGCGCGAGAGGGCTCAGGCTCTTTTGGGTTTAGGGCTTAGGGCTTAGACGTTTTAGGGTTTAGGGTTTAGGCTTTTTCGGGCTGAGGGTTTAGGGCTCAGGCTTTGTAGGGCTTTTAGCCTTTAGGACTTAGGCTTTTTGGGGCTTTTAGCGTTTAGGACTTAGGCTTTTTGGGGCTCTTGGCCTCCTATGCGAGGTTTGGAGTCCTCCGCTTCGAAAACCTGGACTTTGCACCCCTAGAATAGCCCGAACTCCCCCAAACCTCCTGCAACCCATATATATATATATATATCTTAGAGCAAGCCTGTAAAGCCCTATAAACCCCGGTAATGAAGGAACCTGATTAAGAAACCCTGGGCCTATAACCCCAAAAAAGTAGGATTCATACAAGGAAACCGCATAAAGGCCCAAGGTTTCTTAATCAGGTTCCTACATTGTTATAGTACCCTTATAGATTCCGTATAGTAACCCTTTAAAGGAACCCTAAGACAGGGCCTAAGGTTTCTTAATCAGGTTCCTACATTACCTCAAACCCGAGGATTCACCTCTCGACCCAGGCTCTACGATGCTGGCAATGATATCATCTGCGAGCGCCCGGATCTCAGGCGTGGCCGCGAGCTCCTGAAAAAAGGCGCCGTCGGAAAAGGGGTCTATAAGGGCTACTATGAGGGATCTATAATCGGGTACTAAAATGTCTTAACCATTAGAAGGCCCACATGGAGGGTTAAAATCTGGGGTGGGGTTGAAGGTTATAGGATATATGAAGTTTAGGGTCTTAGCGGTAAGGGAGCGATCCTAGTCAGGGTAAGAATCTCAGGAGTATATGCCAAGTTTACGGAAGAACCCACCAAAGTTTTTGTCAGCCCCTAAGATCATCATATACAATTTCCATAAAGAATCTGACCCTAACCCCGATAGATCACCCTACAAAAACTGACAAGAACTTGCGAAGGGCGGAGGGGACGCTGGAGGGCTGAGGGCACGCTGTGTCGGTGTAGGGTACATCCTAGGGTTCCGTTCAGTATTCATTTAAGGGGTTCAAGTAAGGGTTTGGGGTTCCCTTTAGTGGTGCAGTGAGCCTTTTCTTGCTGTAGGCTTCGGCAGTTTGGGGTTTGGGGGTTTGAGTTTCGCATTTTGGGCGTGGATAAAGGGTCTTCTTTTTGGGCTCCGGGGGTTTGATGTTTAGAGTTTAGGGGGAAGGGCAGAAGGTAGTTCGGGGTACAGGATTGTACTTAGCGCTACGAGACTCAACCTTTACCAGAAACAACTGCCGAGAACCCTATGGTAAAAACCCTCCAGGAACAAAAATGCAAAATGCCCAAGCTGTAGCACTACTCCCAAAACCCTAAACCATAAACCCTAAACCCCAAACACCAAGCCCAAAGCCCGCAAGTTCTGGGCTTCGAGCCTAAAACATGAGACCTGCTATCTGGCGCCTTGGCCATGTTCCGGAGGAAGGATTCGGCTTCCTTCTTGACCTCAAAGCTTTAAGATATTCACGGGTTTCAAGCACTCAGAAGGCTTCGGGGTTTAGAGTTTTCGTGAGAAATTGACGTGGATTGAGATAAGAGGCTGAACAGCATGACGCTTCTAGTGTGTGAAAGCTACGACGGCTTGCAGCTTCAACCTCCGCCGTACCCTCTAACTCTACCCTCTGCGGAGGAACTGTGACACCCAAAACTGAACAAGGAGTCCTAAGACCTACACTGCTTCAAAACTCTAAACTCCTTGCCTAAAAATTCGAAATCTCTCATCAACAACCCGAAATCGTGGACCACTGACTGGACTGAAGTGGCGAACTCCGGGGGTGAATACAAAAGAAGCTGCAAGGCCAAAAAATTCACTTGCGAGGTGCCGCGTCTAGCTTCAAGGGTTTGGGGTTTTTTGTCAGCTTCGAGACCCCCAACCCGATAGGTTTGTGAGCTCGGCCTCTTTCCGGGCATCGCCCACGGCATCCCTCAAAGACGACATCACTTTCCTTGGCTCTCACAATGCATGTGGTTCAATGTTTCGGTTAGGAGGCATTTACATGACATGTCAAAATGAAGCGGGATGTGGCGCTTTCGTCCTGTAAAGGGGCACAGAATTTCCTAAGGCCCTAAAACAAGGTCCTAAGCATCATCCCTTGATTTCCCAGCGTGGTGCGGGACCCAAACAAACCCACCAAAAAAACGAGCCCCGAAGACCACGGTTTCGGCTTCTTTTTGATGGAATTCGGGTTGTGGCTAAGGCTAAGGAGTTTAAACCATTTGTTGTGGGACCGTGGTCTAGGGTTTAGGCGCACTCTTTGTGGGATTACGATTCAAACGGAACGGCTCCAGAATGCCCCCTTTACGAACGCCTGTTCGCCCAGAAGTACATCTTTGCATCCCTGATCGATTGGTCCGAAGGCTCGAAGCCGGCGCCAAAACCCCTAAATCCAAAGGCACAGTTCTTGTGCTTATCTGGCGATTCTTGCAAACTTAAGGACACTTCGAAGGTGCACGAAAACTAAGAGCAAACTGGACACAAAGTTTTCCCAGGCCCGGAAGCCTGAATCCCGAACTAGGTATTGAGACTCACGGCATGCAGGCATCAGGAGTCCGAGGTTTACCCAGGTTCAAGTTCCAAGCTTTCGGTCTTCAATTGTAGCAGGACAACCACCATTACAAAGTGAACATAGGTGGGATCACCTAAATCAATCCCAGGAGGATCTTGTTCGTCGCAAAGACCACATCCAATTACAAGGCGTGCAGTTGAGCACTGGGAATGCAGCCGCTTCACCAGCTTGAGCAATGAGGTTCTGGATGATGTTAATTAGTGATGTTAGGTTTGCAAAAACGGCTTTGGAAGGCATAGCTCCATGATCCGACAAATCAACATGCCAGCTTTCAACAGGTTTGCGCACAGTGCTTCGTGCTTAGGGTTAAGTGCTGATTCCAAATTACGATGGGCTGGTAGCCCTGCCTGCACACACTAAGCAGAAATTTACTGGTGGAAGCAGCTGGTAGTTTCTTAAATAGTAGCTTGCATCTGGCACCCAGTAGTGGTGGTAGTGGTAGTGGTGGTAGTAGTAGTAGTAGTAGTAGTAGTAGTAGTAGTAGTAGTAGTAGAGATAATAGTAGAAGCAGTAGTAGAAGTAGTGGAGATAATTGTTGTAGTAGTAGTAGTAGTAGCAGCAGCAGCAATAGAAGTCGTAGTGGTGGTAGTAGTCACGTAGTAGTAGTAATAACAATAATAATAGTAGTAGCAGTAGTAGTCGTAGCAGTACCAGTAATAGCAGTAGTAGCAGTAGTAGCCTGACTCGCAGCAGCAGCAGTTGAAGCAGTAGTATCAGTAGCACTAGGAGTGGGACTGGGAGTCGGAGTTGTAGGACTAGGAGTCGGAATAGTAGTGGTAGTAGCAGTCGCCGTTTCGGTAATGGCAATGGTAGTGGTACTGGTAAGCGTAACGTTAGCGGCGACGGCAATGGCGATGACAGTAGCAATAGAAACGGTTGTAGTGGTGGTCGTCGCAGTAGTGGTAGTCGTAGTCGTAGTACGTAGTAGTAGTTGTAGTCGTAGTACGTAGTACGTAGTACGTAGTACGTAGTACGTAGTACGTAGTACGTAGTACGTAGTACGTAGTACGTAGTACGTAGTAGTAGTAGTAGTCGTCGTCGTAGTAGTAGTAGTTAGTAGTAGTAGTAGTAGTAGTAGTAGTAGTAGTAGTAGTAGTAGTAGTAGTAGTAGTAGTAGTAGTAGTAGTAGTAGTAGTATAGCAGTAGTATAGTAGTAGTAGTAGTAGTAGTAGTAGTAGTAGTAGTAGTAGTAGTAGTAGTAGTAGTAGTAGTAGTAGTAGTAGTAGCAGTAGTAGTAATAGCAGTAGTAGTAGTAGTAGTAGTAGTAGTAGTAGTAGTAGTAGTAGTAGTAGTAATAGTGGAACCACTAGTAGTACTAGTAGTGGAAGAAGAAGTAGAAGCAGTCGTCGTCGTCGTACTTGTAGAAGTAGCAGTCGTCGCCGTCGTAGTAGTAATAGTAGAAGTAGAAATAGAAGTAGAAGTAGAATTTGAAGTAGTAGCAGGAGCAGTAGCAGTAGCAGTAGAAGGTGGAGGTGGAGGTGGAGGTGGAGGCGGAAGTAGGAGTAGAAGTAGGCGTAGGAGTAACAGTAGAAGTAGAAGCAGCAGCAGAATAGGTAGCAGGTGGTGGTGGTGCGCATTTGGGCTCATGGGGTGGTCTTGGGAGACTCACGGGGGGTTCTTGGAAGGGCCCTTAAGTTTCTAGGTCTTAGGCGTAATTAAGACAAAGAAGTATGTCGCTATGACAAGGGTAAGAAGCAAATCAGAAGAGCGAGTTTTAAGACTTGCAGCTGGTTTAGATCCCTTCAGATTTATAGCTAGACTGGGGCTTTTGGGGTCTGTTATGCTACACTTAAGTCGGGACTGTCAAGGGTGACGACTAGTTGTTAAAACCCCGGATTCAACCCTATCACCCCTCTAAATCCCTGTAAAGACCCCAAAAAGACCCTAACCATATCAACACCCTACTGTTCGTCTCGGACGCAGTGAGGAGTCGATGTAGAGGCCCGCCCTTAACCCAAAAGCCCTAAACTCTAAAGCCCTAAACCTTAAACCCTCCGGCCTCCTAAAGCAGTCCGGGGGCGGCATCCACAGCCCAAGCTGCCTTGGGCAGCTGGCTGTGGCCTGTGCCAGGAGGTCGCGAAGCAGCCCAAGGCAGGCCACCTTCACCTTCCTCGGGGCTTGCGTAGCTACACGCAGCTTCCGGACGGCAAGAGGGAGACGGCTGTGGGGCTGAGGGTTGGCAAAGGGGGTTTAGGCATGAAGGTCTAGGGCTCTTGAGCAGTTTGAGGGTTGAGGGCGTGGGGCTCTGGAATATTCATCACGAAGAGAAGCACTGCTCGCAGTAAGGGACATGAATTTAAATCCAACGACACGTGCAAAGTTGTAAGCATGATGGGAGGGAGGGGAACGTCACCCTTCTTTTTGGCAAGGTAAAGATGATCGAAATCGAAGTCATGGTTGCGATTGTAGCAGCAGGCGACACAATGCAAAACATACACGAATATGACCCGAAGTCCCCGACAAGCGCACACCAAAGTCTGATGCTGCGGAGAACGCAGTAAGAAGAACAGAAACGACGATATCAACTCAACTCTTTATTACAGGAGAGAGGTAGGTAATTCTTCCAACATGAAAGCCACAGAAACTCAAACGGGGACACAACTCGTCAATCCGCTGGTTCTCCAAAGCTCTCTGCACCGTGGCCACGAAGCACAGAAGCCCGAAGGATTTGGGAAGCACCCCATAACAAGCTTGCAACCGCTCACACTTTCGGGTTGTTTAAGGGGACGCGGTTTAGGATTTGGAACGAAAATGCGGCACTAGGGCCGTAGACTCACTGCGACACAAGCGTCGGACGAACTACGTTGCGGCAAGACGCACGCGAACAAGAAACTGCAATCAAAGGCTCTAGGCATCAACTCCAAAGCCCAGGGCATGAAAGCATGGTGAAAGCATGCACCAAACAGACCTCTGAATCTCCAGCAGCCACATCAGCCTTGCCATGGCCATCGCCATTATCATCATCATCGTCATCATCATCATCAGTGTCAGTGTGATCGTCATCACTGCCAGCATCGCCATCACAACTTACAGTTCAACGCCAATCCCGTTTGCCCCAAACCCAGACACTTCCTAATCTCGTCAGAGACCTCTTGCGTCAAGGATCCCTCGCTGCTCACTCTCTGATCAGAAGGGGTGTTGGGCTCCCGTTACAATACTTTTAAAGGCTGTGCTTAAAATTGAAACAAGAACACAAAAGACGAGCAACCCCTCTACACCCCTTGCAAAATAAGCGTGTGTGTGTGTACATATGTATATATATATATATATATTAATGTATTTACCTTTTTTATATATACATGTGATGCAGGCCTACTGAACCCCCCTCCCCGCCCCACCCCATGGTATCCCCCCCTTGCCTGCCAAGTGGGTAGTCGTCTTGTTTGGCCTTGTTGCTTTCCCCCGTCTTCCCAGGTGCCCTGTGGAGTGGGACCTGTGGTCTTTTTGGTTAGCCCCGCCCCGCATGCGGGGGGCAGTGTGTTCTACACAGTTATGGTATGGTTGCTGCCACTTGTTTGTTGTAATGATGCCATCGTTACGTGCCTTCTCCCCCTCCCCCCGCTGTGAGGTGGGGCCTGTGGTCGTTTTGGTTGGCCCCGCCCGCCTGCATTTCTCCATGAAGCACTGACTGGGATCATTCTCCAGAGGGAGGGAGGATGCTGCGTGGGTTTGTTCGTGCGGGAACGGTGGGAGAAGGGGCCCGGGGGCGGGAGGCGCGGGGGGGGGGGGGATGATATTATTGGGGGCATGGGACCCGAGCAAAGGTATGAAGCCCGCGGAGGATCCTTCCAGAACCCTTGTATACCCTAAACCCTAGACCCTAGACCCTAAACCCCAAAATCCTTTCTTGAGGGATCTTTGAATCTTCCGGAAATCCGCCCGGGCGCCATTTCCCCGCAGCTGCGGGGCCCAGATGGGCCAGGAGCACAGGAAGGACCATCTGGGAAGAGGGATTGAGGGTAAGGGTCCTTCGAAGGTTCATGTAAGGCTTCAAGCGGACCATGTGGGGAGAGGGGTTGAAGGGAATTTGGGGTTTGTGGGTTAGGTTTTGGGAAGACTGGGTAAGCATTGCAGCAATGGTCCCGCATAGTGCACTGTCCGCAAATAACCCCGACCATGTTCCCAATAGAACCCTTATGGAAACCCTCATAGAACCCGTATAGAACCCGTATCGTATAGAACCCGTATAGAACACTTGTAGAACCCGTATAGAACCTTTATAGAACGCATATACATGGAACCTTTTTTGAGAAGAGAGCCTGTTTGATGGAGGCCTTAGAGCCCAAAGCAAGGCCTCAGGGAGGCAGCTGCCTCTGGGCCCCGCTTTGCAGACGTGCCGGCAGAGATCCAAAGCCGTTCCTGTTCAGGGCTTCGGGTTTTAAGGTTTAGGAGGAAAGTTCAGGGTTTAGGGCTTGGGGATTAGGTTTCTTTTTTTGAACCCCTTTTTCCGTCTGCAGAGTCTCCTCCCGATGAAATGGTTAGGGTTTCACGTTCAGGGCTTCGGGTTGAAGGTTGAGAGTTTAAGGTTTAGGCGGGGTTTCGGATCTTGGGTTTGGGAGCGAAGCATGGGGAATCCGGAATTTTGTTTGTTGAGCGGCTCTTTTCTCAGGGTTCGTTTAGGGTGGTTGAAATAGCGACGGTACAGAGTTGCTTTCATCATCGCGGCTGTAAGAGGAGTGCCTAGTCGCGTTGTGCATGCGTTTGCAAGGCGTTTAGGGGTTTAGGGGCTCAGGGTTTTGGGTTTAGGGTTCAGGGTTTAGGGCAATGGGGGTGTAGCTATGTTGGCAGCGTTGGCGGAAGAGGTCCTCATCGGCACTGAGTGCTTCAACACAGCCAGAACTGGTTCCCCCAAACTCTGCTGGGGCTACTATGACCCCGTAGAGCATTCAAAAGTTTCATAGAGGCCGTTGCTCGCTTCAGCTCCGCCCTACCGTCTAGACCTCTTTAAAGGAAGCCTTACTGTAAATAGTGAAAGAAGCCTGGTACTAATGCATTACTGTCTTACTATATCATTATATCCCCATATTACTATATTACTACGTTACTATATTACTATATTGCTACATTACTATATTACTATATTGCTATGTTACTATATTACTCTATTACTACATTGCTATGTTGCTACATTGCTATATTAATACTATATCACATGTTACTACATTACCACATTACACATGTTGTTCTATTACTATGATACTATACCGTCATACTGCCAAATTCTCAGGGGCACCTCCAGGTTCTGTCTTCAGCTTCGCCTCCTCCAGTAGAAGCCTCGGAAAGCTTCCCGGGTCGAACTTTGGAATTTAGGTTTGGGATTCTTGATTTGGGATGTAGAGCTTGGGGGGTTTAGGAGTTTGGGGTTTGGGGGGCTCAGGTAGCTAGGGGTTTACGCTTTGGGGTTACGCCGTTTGGGGCTCAGGGTTGCAGGGGTTTAGGAGTTCAGGGGTTTGGGGTTGAGGTCTGGGTAGATGTGGTTGGTGCCTTTCTAGAGACCTTTCTACCGGATGTATAGTGCTGTTTATAGATCCGTTTTATGGGTGCCTAGTGTTGTCCGCATAGCTTCTTTATTGGGTTCGTAGGGCCGTGAAAACAAGGTTGCATGGGCGCGAGGGTTTTCTGGTGCTGCTGCTGGGCTTGTGACTTTTGGGCTTTCGGATTCTGGGCTTTGGGTGTTTTTGTGGAATTGAAGTTTGTGCACTCTGCGGTCGGGGTCTCGGGCTTTGGCGGCTGGCATAGGGGGCTCAATGATTGCGATAGCCTTTTGCGGAATACTATGCTGCGAAATACTGTGGTACAGGTACACAGGGCTAGGCCGGCGTACACTGTGTGTGATTGCTCGGGTACAAAAATGCTTAGTCTTACTTCGAGTTTTATTACAATTAATATTATTGTTGTTTTATCTTTCTTGTAAGTACTACTATAATTGTTGATTTTACTAATTGTAATTCTTGTGATTGCTTTTGTTATTGAAATACTGCTAGGAGTAGTAAGAATAGTTGTGCTATGATATCAATCAGGAAACCACAGTATTCCTTAGCCTACCAAACCCTACTCTTTTTTGTAGGCTCTGATTATAAACCCTAATATGGAGTTTATAGGGACCCTGCAAAAAAGTAGGGTTTGGTAGGTTAAGGTTTAAACCAGACCCCTACTCTGGCAACTTAAACAGTGTGCTATGCGTATCACAACGTTTGACAAAGCGCTTCATCCCCGAGCTGCTTTTCATTGTGCGTTTAGGCGTCCTTTAAAGGGTACTGTAAGGGTTCCTTTAAAGGATCTATGGGGGTTTAAGTTAAAGGTACTATAAGGGTTCCTGTAAAGGAACCATAGGGGTTTGAGAGTTTTGGGTTGTGGGTCCAATGTCTGCTGAACCTTGGCACTACAGTAAACCTTTGCATCGACAAACCACGGTTTAGGGTATAGGGTCTAGGGTTTAGGGTTTAGGGCCTGAAGCAGTCATTACTGGGACTCCTGAAACAGAAAAGCAAAGCCCAACCCCAGGCCTTAAAAAAACAAAATATGATCTTCTTGCAGTTTCTGAAGGATCAACTTCGCCTTCTCCATCTTCATGTCGTCTTCCACTGCCATAGCTTCAAGAGCCTGTTCCACACTTTCTCCAGCTTGGTGTGCAGCAGCCATTCTGGCATAGATCTCTTGTTTAAATGCCTCCTCTTCTTCATCATCTTCTTCTTCATCTCGGTAGTCACCTTCACTCTCATGCTCCTTTTCCGTTGGTGCTCCCGACATGAACCCGTACCAAGTCAAGTATCTGGCCTCTTGCCCGACTTTTTCGAGTTGTCCATTTGCCCAGGCTACGAAGTCATCGCGTCTAGGGGTTTAGAATTTGGGGTTTAAGGCTCAGGGGTTGTGTATTTAGGGTTTAGGGTTTAGGGGTTTAGGGCGTTTAGGGGTTTAGAGTTTAGGGGTTTAGGGTTCAGGGGTTGGGTATTTAGGGCTTGGGGTTTAGGGGTTTAGGGCGTAAAGGGGTTTAGAGTTTAAGGGTTTAGGGTTCAGGGGTTGGGAATTTAGGGTTTAGGGTTTAGGATTTTTGTACGTTTAGGGGGTTTAGAGTTTAAGGGTTTAGGGTTCAGGGGTTGGGAATTTAGGGTCTTAGGGTTTAGGGTTTTTGTGCGTTTAGGGGGTTTAGAGTTTAAGGGTTTAGGGTTCAGGGGTTGGGTATTTAGGGTTTAGGGTTTAGGGGTTTAGGGGTTAGGGGTTTAGGGTTTAGGGAAAAACAATCAAGCCTGAAGCCCTGCAACCGATAGAACAACTAGGAGAACCTGTAAAACTCTATATAAAGCATAGAAAAACCCAGAAAACCCTGCAAAAACAACGCTCAAAATCGATGAAAGCTCACTATCAAAAAAAAAGCACCCAAAACCACCAGGATCCCCGGCAGCAGCGCCGGCAACGCCGGCAGCACAGCCGGTGGGTTCCAGGTCAGGGCGCGTACCGTCTTCAGCGCCCCATCCCTTCAGTTGAGGGCTTCAGGTTCAGTTAGGGTTTAGGGTTCAGGGTTTAGGGGTTTAGGAATTTATAAAAAATTAAGAATTAGGGTTTAGGGTTCAGGGATTGAGAATGAGGGTTTAGGGTTTAGGGTTCAGTGGTTTAGGGGTTTAGGGGTTTATACTTAATTAAGAATTAGGGTTTAGGGTTCAGGGGTTTAGGGGTTGATAATTAGTTAAGAATTAGGGTTTAGGGTTTAGGGTTCAGGGGGGGGGTTAGGGGTTTAGGCAGGGTTTGTAACTAATTTAAGCTTCAGGGATAGGATTGGCACTTCTAGTCCAAGGTTTATGGCTACCAGTTCACCTTGGGCATCGGTGCATAAGGAAGCCGTCAACAAGTCTGTTAGAGGCCTCAGTACTAATTAGTAACCCTAAACCCCTAAACCCTAATTATTAGTTGGAATGTGAGTTCGGGAAACAGGTAACTTCAAAATATGGGGCTCAGCAGTTGTCGAATCATGTTGAAGCCTTAACTCATAACCCCAGAGTCAGCTGCACCCAAAGCTCCTGTCAAGCCCTATTCAAACACGACATGCAGATGTCTCAGTACACGTCACCACGAGAAAAAGCCTCGAAGTGAGCAATGCGGTACCTCGTGGCTGCGCGCTTCATCTTCGCTGATATCAGCTCTGAAGCCCCAGCGGCAATGCTCGCTACCTGGTGGGGAGTCTTTCAAGAAGGTACCCCTGATGTTGTGAAGCACACTTCTGGATTCGGGATTGAGGCCTTCAGTGATCAAGCCCTCAGATTTGGAGATCGACCGATGATTGCACCGATTCTTCACAGACTATCAGAGGTTCTGGTGCCTAGTCACGGTATTTGTGGTGGCGGTCTGCCTCCCAGTCAGGAGCAGTCGGCTTGTTCTGAAATGTGCACGATTGAACTCTCCATCACTCTGGACCTCAACATGCATCAAGCTAAGCCCTAAACCCCTAAAACCTAAACCCTAAGCCCTAATCTAAAGCCCAAAGTCTCAACCCTCACGCTGCATGAGCTCCATCACTTCGCAAGGTTTCCAGGGGTTCAGTTGTTCTGGGCTTTTGGTCTCAGTTCCAAAACTCTGCGCTTTTCAGCAAGACATGAGGCAACAAAGCGTGCCTCTGCCTTGATCGTGCTCTTGTAGCTTCCTCGGTGTAGCTGTTGTCTTCTGACACTTTGTGGGATGGGGGAAGGCCTTGCACAGGCTAACGACAAGAAGAAGAAAAACAGCAGCAGCAGCAGCAACAACAACAACAACAACAAACACAACAAACACAACAAACACAACAAACACAACAAACAACAACCAACAACCAACCAACAAACAAACAACAAACAAACAACAACCAACAACCAACGACCAACAACCAACAACCAACAACCACAACAACAACAAGAATAACAACAGCAACAACGACGACACTGGCAACACAACAACCAACAAAGAATGAAC